ACTCTTTCAGGAGCACTAACTGTTCATTTTGGTCTGTTCTCATTAAACGAGGGAAGTTGTCCCCTGCCAAAGCATTGAAGGTTCCTGTTCTTTGCTGCTTGGACCCCAAATTAGTCAAAAGCCACCCAAACAGAACTGGCATAAACGCAACCCAGCTAATTTGCCACGGGACAGAAGCCAGATTTCTGCGTTCTGTAGGTCAGCGACTCCCTAATCTTTCCCTGGCAATAGAATCGCAGGCACTAATAATTCCCGTCTTCAGGAGGGGGGGAGAGTTCCGTGGCTTATGGGCCAAAATGGCACCACCCAGCTACACAAGAGGGAGCTATCAGCAGACTCAGGGGAAAGGTTTGCAGAAGGATAAGGACACTTTAGAGAGGGGAAATCTTTAAAGCAGCAGTGGTGGTGAGGAGTGAGACCTCTTTACCTTGGCTTCTGAAACCTGAAATGTATATTTTTTAGGATTCTCCTTATTTCTGTGTTTGTGAGTTGTTTTAAACTGCTCTTAACATTGTGTTTTGAAACATTAGGGTGTGCCTTGGTGCATATGCCTAAGGCCTAATTTTGTACAAGAGTCAAGAAGAGGAGAAATTCAGGAAAAGAGGAGAGAGAGAGAGAGAGAAGGAGAGAAGGGAATATCCCATTAGGAAGCTGATTTATACCAAGTCAAGCCACTGTTCCATCCAGCTCAATGCTGTCTCTGCCTGTATGGCAGCAGCTTTCAGGGATGGGGGTCTCCCAGCCCCACCAGATGATGCCAGGGACCTTCTGTATGAAAAACCAGGTGCTCTGCTGCTGAGTTCTGGCCCTTCCCCCTTTGGTTCCAAGCTCACTCACTTTTAGCCCTGGCCCTGCTCATTGTTGATGTGCCCCCCAACACATTTCTCATCAGGTAATGTGGCCCCCCAATAGAAATATAATTCCCCCACTCCTAATTTAAATGGTGTAAGATTTACAAATGGAGAATTATTATGAACATTCTTATTTTGCAGTTTCAAACCACCACTAAAACCAGGCTTTTGGAATTCCATTTGCTTAATAATAATAATAATAATAATAATAATAATAATAATAATAATACCCTGCCCATCTGACTGGGTTGCCCTCTGGGTGACTTCTAGCATATTAAAAAACATAATGAAACATTAAACATTTAAAACTTCCCTATACAGGGCTGCCTTCAGATGTCTCCTAAAGGTTGTATCTCCTTGACATCTGATGGGAGGGTGTTCCACAGGGTGGGCGAGATTACTGAGAAGCCCCTTACTGATTTTTGGATGTTTGCATTTGAACTACCATGTCTTCTGTAGTTTCGGGTTGTTTTGCAGAGCAGCGATCACACCAGCATAGAGATTTTGTGTTTTCCATACTGCCCTAGCTGCGTGTTGTGCTTTTGGCATGTGTTGCTTGAGTGTAGAGTAGATTGCCACAATACATCATCATCACATGCACACAATGCTAGGTTTTGCATGGCAAAGTCAAAATGTCCAGGTAGACTGGAGATGGTTAACCTAGGTGCCTCCAGATGTTCCTTGACTCCAGCTCCCATCATCCCAGACCATTGACTATGCTGGCTGGAACTGATGAACAGCAACATCCGGAGGTCCAGAAGTTAGCCACTCCTGATTTATGGGATTTCTAACTTGATCCATCAGAAGCTTGCCTGATTTCAGAATGGCCACTTTTTCTCTTTTTTTAAGGCAATGCACATTTATATTGCACAGCTGTGTTTCTGTGTACAGTGCTACCTCGGGTTACAGACGCTTCAGGTTACAGACTCCGCTAACCCAGAAATAGTACCTCGGGTTAAGAACTTTGCTTCAGGATGAGAACAAAAATCGTGCTCTGGCGGCGCGGCAGCAGGCCCCATTAGCTAAAGTGGTTCTTCAGTTTAAGAACAGTTTCAGGTTAAGAACGAACCTCCAGAACGAATTAAGTTCTTAACCAGAGGTACCACTGTATTTCTCCCATTTACACTCATTTGCTCCATGTCATTCTTACCCCACCCTTTTAAAAAAAGCAATCACCCCGAATGTATCCATTCCCTTTTATGGTGGTGTGGATGTGTGGACTGTGCAGCAGACAAAACACTATGCAATATCTTTACCATGTTTTGACATTTATTCCTGTTTTTATTAGCATGGAACTTCTCCCACATGGATTTGCTCCAGAATACGTTCATCTAACTGGATAATAGGCTGTCACAATTAACAAATCGTGTCTTAGAGCCAGCCTACTCCCGGTTTGTCTGTTCCCAATAAAGTTCTTTTTAGTTCTAACCCAAGGAGTCAAGCAAAGCCACTGGTAACTGATACATACTGCCCTTTCAGGACACAGGTAAGGGAAGAATGAGATATAATTATTTTACTGCTCTTTTTACTAGACCGTCAATTGTTGTTATTCTCCTGGGGGCTGCACACACTTCTTCCCCATGTCAGAAATGCCCTGCTTGGGAAAAGATGGCACATCAAGAAGGACTGCTCTGGCTTCGTGTCCCTGATCGGTGATGCTTTATCTGTGTGGGATAGTTTTTTTTATGTGGAAGAGCATTCAAATGTGCATTCTGACGCAAAAATCAGTTCCTTACTTTCCTTCACTCAGATAAACAGCAGAAGGTATACCAGTGGTACTTTTAGACCTGGGTAGGAAACCTCAAGCCTAAAGGCCAAATGTGGCCCTCTGCACCCCTCCATCCGTCCCCTAGGACTCTTCCCCAGGCCACACCCCTCACAGATCCTAGTTTGCACTCCCTCTTTTCCTCAGTTGGGCTCTGATTATGCCCTTTGCTTGTCCACATTGTGGACAGAGGTGTTTGTAGGAACTAGTCTACTGTAGAAAGATACATTTCACATCTGTTGCTGCTCCCATTCCTGCCTTTGGCTCTGCCTACCACTGCCATGCAGCTCCCAGAAAGTTGTCAAGCAGGGAACGTAGACCCTGGACTAGAAAGGTTCCCCATCTGTTTTAGACCCTGGACCTATTGGTCTTACAGCCTGCAGATTCAGTTGTGAAGCCCAGGAGTGGGCACTCTGTTCCAGAAATGCAAAAAAAGACACATTCCTTTGTTTGCATCCTGTGCCACTGTTTTGCACCTGACTGATGAACCTCTAGGTTCTAATAAAAAGCCCAGTGGATGTACAAACCTGACGTCTGCTCCCGCCTGGTCTAACAGATCACTCCTATGTGGTCTCTCATGCACTTCTTTCAATATCAGGTTTTCAGATCAGTTGGTATATTGCTAAGACAGGGTAGAATGATCAGCTGTTTTGTTGTCACACAATGAAGACACGTGGTATAAAGTGGCACCGCTAAAGTTCAGTATTATTTGCATCGCCATTCCCACCAATCAATCATCCATAGCTCACTAAACTGATGCGTCTCGGTTTCAGTTTTCCTCTCCCCGTCCAGCTTTCTTTCTCTTTTTCTTCCAGGATGCAAACAGTTAGGAGAGTCCAGAGGCACAGCTTAATGGGGCCAGCCTTAAGGAGAACCGGACTCTTATTTTTCATGCAGAAAAGGGGGGGGGAGCAAATACTACCCCACTTCCCTTTCACTCAGTAATCCAAGTTGAACTTCTCCTAGTCATAACTGCAAAATGACACAGGAGGAGCAAAAGAATGTATTCTTTCCAGTTTGGGAGGAGGTAGAGAGGATGAATGTTGATGTTACAGTTCCATCTTGTGGACAAAGCAGAATTATCGCCGGGATGCCCAAATATAATATGCACAATTGTGGAATATGCTGCCTAATCAAAGAGGTGTCTTTGTCTACATGAGCAGCCATCCAAAATAAGTGCAGTCTCACATGAGGCTGTGGTTGCAGACAGCCTATATCTTTAAAGCACATTCAAATCACACACACACACACACACACACACACACACACACACATTTCTGGGCCCTGTAGTTTATCCCTCACAGAGTTACAATTCCCAACAAAACTTAACTACGATACCCAGGATTCCATGAGGGGAGGAGATGTGTTTTGAACGCGCTTCAAAGGTATAGCATGTGTGCAGTCTGTGTTTTGAGCCAGGAATTCTATGAACGGAGTGATCATTGTGCAACAGGTGCCAGAATGGATTATCCCTTGGTGTGATACAGCAGGGTTACACCAAAGAAGCCACAAGCAGTATGGAGCACAAGTGGCTTGTCTGCAGCCACTGCAGAGCATCTGATGTGCCTACAAAAGGGCCTCTGCTCAATCTCCAACAACTTCTGGCTGAGACCTTGGTGATCTGCTGCCAGTCAATGTAGACAACTTTGAGCTAGATGGACCAATGGTTTGACTTGGTATAAGCCAACTCTCTCTGTTGTTGTTGTTGTTGTTGTTGTTTACAATTCTATCCCACTTTTCCTCTAAGGAGCCTAAGGCGATGTACGTGGTCCTCCCTTCCCCCATTTTATCATCATAGCAACCTTCTGAGGTAGGTTAGGTGGAGAGACAGGGACCAGTCCAAGTACTTATGCTTCTGTATTGCTTTTATATTTTTTAGGGGTGCATCTAAAATATGAATGAGTCCAAGCTGTGTTTGGAAACAAATGTATTAATACAAGCACACACTCTCTAGGATGGAATTGGCAATCTTAACACTCAGGGGACTCTCCCCACCCTGATTATCACTTTCGCAAGCCATGTTTTATTACAGATTGACTACTAAGAATACGCGGGTGGCGCTGTGGGTTAAACCACAGAGCCTAGGGCTTGCCGATCAGAAGGTCGGCGGTTTGAATCCCCACAATCGGGTGAGCTCCCGTTGCTCAGTTCCTGCTCCTGCCAACCTAGCAGTTCAAAAGCACATCAAAGTGCAAGTAGATAAATAGGTACCACTCCGGCAGGAAGGTAAACGGCGTTTCCGTGTGCTGTTCTGGTTCTCCAGAAGTGGCTTAGTCATGCTGGCCACATGACCCAGAAGCTGTATGCCAGCTCCCTCGGCCAATAAAGCAAGATGAGCGCCGCAACCCCAGAGTCAGTCACGACTGGACCTAAATGGTCAGGGGTCCCTTTACCTTTACCTTACTAAGAATACTAACTAATACATTTTCTCTTTGACCGAGGAACTGTCAACGACTACAAATGCACTGTAAATCACATTTCTCTAAATAGTATCTTATAACTGTGATAGCTTAGGCCAACTGTTTTACGAAAGCTTTTCAAAGGCATGGCAGAGAGTTTTCAGTTCTTCTTTCAAGTGGGTAACAATTTCCTTCACTTTCTGCGGTGAGTCAAGAACCTCGACATTGCAGGTAAAGGGATTATAATGAAGAGTAAAAGGTTTTTTGATCTTAACGGTGTATTTTCTGTAGAGGGGAAAAAATTGATCAAAAGATGATTTTTTACGTTTTTACAAGTGCATGCATTTTATAGGGTCTGGAGAAAAGTGTGTTCTTTTCCAGTTTTATGATTGGCACCACTGGAAAATTAAATAGAGCAGGGTCTCATAAATAAACTATGGCCTTAATGTTTACCAAGTAAAAGTTTTGTATGGAGATGATCCTTCCAACTGTTGGTGCATCCCCTGTGCCTGGAGAGATCCTCATATAACACAGCTCAAGACCTCAAGATCTTAAGGACCGCCTCTTCTCATCTGAGCCCCTTTTCTATGTCCCCCCTCCATATGAAGTCTGAAGGGTGACAACACAAGAACAGGCCCTTTCTGTGGTGGCTTCTCATTTGTGGAATGCTCTCCCCAGAGAGGTTCGCCTGGCTTATTTAGTGGGTTCCTCCCAGAGGAAAAAGAATTGACTTCTTTGGCATGCAGAAAACTAGGAAATAAGACCCCCCAAGAGATGGCATAGTTGTCAGTGCTGTGAAATAAGGGGTGATGCTTTGTCCCTGTGTGCCCCCACTCCACAACACACACATGCCAAGTTAAGAACTCCGAAAGGACAACAACACCTTCTGAGGTCTGTGCATGACTCCGTGTTCCCATCAAAGGTGTTCTGAAGGCCAAATCATCCTCACTTGGTGATGGGCAATATCTGCTTTGAATGAGTGCCATTGCCATACTTACTGGAGCTGAGACTTCATGTCTTCAAAGTGTTCTGCTACAAAGTAGACGGGCTGGAAGGACTGGTCCTGGTAAGGCTGGATGGCCATCGCGTCTGTGTCAAAGGGTTTGTACTGTGGCTTCTTTGACAAAGCATACTATTAGTAAAGGAAAGTGACAGTGTTCATGTTCAGAAATGTCAAAGATGTAGGCTTAGAATGCAAGGAGGGGGTAGCAACCAAAGCGAAAAATTACCGTATTTTTCGCTCTATAACACGCACCAGACCACAAGACGCACCTAGTTTTTGGAGGCGGAAAACAAGAAGAAAAATATTCAGAATCTCAGAAGCCAGAACAGCAAGAGGGATCGCTGCGCAGTGAAAGCAGCAATCCCTCTTGCTGTTCTGGCTTCTGGGATAGCTGCGCAGCCTGCATTCGCCCCATAAGACGCACACACATTTCCCCTTACTTTTTAGGAGGGAAAAAGTGAGTCTTATAGAGCAAAAAATATGGTAAATGGGTGTGGGAAGGAAGAAAGGAATCTATGGGGCTTCAAAGGGGTGTGTGTGGCAATGTTTAACTTTAGTAAAGAGGGGAGAGTTGTCCCTTCCCATCAAATATCAGTGTTTCCTTCACCTTCAATCACATGACCTGTTCACCTGGATTATTTAACCTTTGGAGACAATTTCATATCTATACTTCAAGTTTGTTTATTTCTAATGATGAATGAACTCCTCATTGTGTGGCTTGGGACTGGGATGAGCAAAATGTTTTCTCCCTAAAGTGGAAATAATTGCTGCTTTTCGGGGACTTCCGGGTTGACGCGATCTGGAAATGGCGGATTCCCTCCGAGCTCCGGAGGGAACCGGCTCCACTGAGGATGGGTCTTTGCCGCGCCGGCGACGCGGGGACCCTTAAAAACCGCAGGCGCGGAAGCCTGCGGACTGAAGACTCGGCGGGTGCCTTAAGCGCCCCCCCTGATTCGCAAAGAGCCTTTTTAAAGGCTGCGGAGGGGATACGGGGGTGGCGTGGCACTGAGAGTCGATCGCTACCTCGGTGGAGTGAAGCCGCGAGCCAGGACCAGAGAGCGCTGACTTCCTTCCTTGAAAATTTGGACTGAAAGAATTACCCGTGAGTAAGACGGATTGGGACTATATAAAAATTTTACCTTGAATTGGAGACGATCGGGGGGTGTGCTAAAAGGAAGTCCGCACCCCCCTCTTGCAGACGACCTAAGCAACGGCATAAGAGCTAAGCTGGAGAGCCTACCCCTGGTGGGGTGAGTTAAAAAGGACATTAACTTCTAAGATTTAACTAAAGGAAATTTTGGGCTGGAGAGTGGAGTTTTGGGAACTTTCTTTTTGCTTCAAACAACCCCCCCTCCCGGGCCCGGGAACGTCCTGCCTCGGTGCCTGTGTAAGAGCTGCGGAGTTTGACAGCTGTCAAAGCTGCCAAACGGTCGGTTTAAAGTGCAAAAATTGTCATCTCTTGACTAAGACGAGTTACAATTGAGCTAAAATCGTTGGAAACAAAGTAATAATAATCAGTGAAAGGATTGTTGGTGAAAAGGCTAATAAGTAACCAGATTCCCCCTAGGGGGAATTCTGTGAAACTACAATGGATACAATGGCTGTGGAAGGAAAGTTACTGGTGGAAATTGAAAGGATGTTTCAATTGGTGGGAACTTTACAAGAGCAGAGCTTGGCCATGAATAAACAGCTTGAGACTATGACCTTGGGAACAGGCAACTCTGCTCTTTGTATTGAGGACCTCAACGAGAAAGAATTCACAGCTGAATGGGAAACAATACCTACAGAGTTGGAAGAGACTAAACAACAAGAAAAAGAAGAAGTAATCCTGGGAAGTAACAACCAAAAGTTGACATCTGCGGAACATAAGCAAGGAAACGCTGGGAACATATCTACTACAAGTCTGCGAAAGATACAGAAGAAGAAGAAGGAGGTCCAGGGACAAAATGGAACACAGAAATTTAAAATAAAGAAATACGCTTGGGGCCTCCGTTTGGACTTTGATCTTGAAGAGATAGGCTTTGTGGAAATTCTTCAGCAGTTACTTTTGAACCCCCTTGTGGGAAGAGGAAACACTTTGATGGTGAAAGAACTTTTCCCAGACTTGATGACTGACATAAAGGACTACCAACGGGACAGGCGGAGAGGGACTGAAAGGGATTTGAAAGCCTCGGACGTGAGGAACCCAGGCTGAGAAATTCGAATTTGGACTTTTATTGGGAAGGGACAAAAACCGGGGATGGGAGGGAGGGAAGAAGAGACTCTTAAAAACTCTTAAGACTTTTAGGTTTGGTTAATATGACTCTTAATTAAGATAAAATGAAAATCGATGGAAGAGAACTTAAGTCCAACTTAGGAAAATTAATTTTTATTATAAAATAAGGTGATGAATAACATTGTTAAGAGGAGAAATACCAACTTGCTGATATAATCTTGAAACTGGGATGCACGAGGGGAGGTGGGGGGAAGTCAGGGAACAAGTTTATGAAACGGGGATTGGTTGATTTTATACATGTTTTTGTCTTTTTCTTTTCTTTGTGTATGTTTTGTCTTTATAAAACCAGAAAACCAAATAAAAATTTTATTAAAAAAAATAATAATAATTGCTGCTTTTCCTTTTCTTTACAAAAAAAGCTCAGTTCTGAAATTGGATTAGTCGTGCTGTCAATGAATTAGTTGTGCTACCAATGTTGTCCTCATGGGTGCAAAGGGATCTGACCAACTCCCTTCCCCAAGCCCCCCTATTCCTGTCAAGAACTGCTTAACTCTGCTTCTTGCTCCCTTGCTCTTAACTAAGCCGATGGCAGTAGGACACTAACAGCAGGTCTTGGGAGCTCTGGGGAACTGCATTTCCCAGGGTCCCCGGTGCCTGGGATACTGCTTCACGCAGAAGCCTCCAGAGAGCCCTTCCATTGCTACTGCCCTGCCACTACCCTGTGGGTTTGGAGGAAAGAAAGGAAATGGGTTTAGTGATAGGTAAGAGAAGGGCTGCCTGGCAGTACAGTGGTACCTCAGGTTACAGACACTTCAGGTTACAGACACTTCAGGTTACAGACTCCTCTAACCCAGAAATAGTACCTCGAGTTAAGAACTTTGCTTCAGGATGAGAACAGAAATTGTGCGGCAGCGGGAGGCCCCAGCAGCTAAAGTGGTACCCCAGGTTAAGAACAGTTTCAGGTTAAGAACAGACCTCCGGAACGAATTAAGTTCTTAACCTGAGGTACCACTATAGTGATAAGGACAAATCCCAACATGATCTTGCATTTGGGTAAAACTCTGCTCTTTGTATTCTAAATCACCCAAGCTCTTTACTTGCCTTTACCTCTACTTGCCATTTCTTCCAAAGATGGTGTAAGAACTAGAGGAGAAAAAACTGCTTTGACCCAAAGGACACAATTTTTTTTTAAAGGGGACCCAAGACTCTAGTTTCTTGATTAGCAGTGCACTGTATGTGGGAGATTCCTGTGAGAGTCCTCGTTCAATCTAAACCAGATGCATCAGTAAAAACATGCAGATATATTGTGTTTCAGGCCTTGGGAAAGCCAGCTGAAAGGTTTCAGAACCTCAGGCGTGAGTTTTCAAGCAGAGCCCTTCCTTCTTTGCTGTGGGAAGTTCTGCTTTAAAATGATCAGATGACCCGAGGTGACCTGTAGGGAGCTAAGGGAGCCCTGTTTTTCTGCAAACAAAGCATGCCAAGGGGTGAGCTCTGCCAATTGTGAAGTATGGGCCATTACATTTTACTGTACGTAGGCTAGACTCCAGCCGGGGTGTTAACATGAAATTCATTTGATTTAATGCAGAACAGCTGACAATACAGTAAAATTACAGTGCAAAACTCAGTGTCTCGGGTGCATTCTATAGCTCAGAAAACGTAAGGTTGGCCAGCAGGCAAACTCTTTCATGCTAGTTGGGGATTTGAATATCGTCGTATAGATCTCACCTCCTATTTTGAAAGGCAAAGCTAGGTTTCTAGGCCAAGTGATGGTTGAAAAATAGGGTTGAAGCTTGCCTTAAGGATTCGGCTACAAAACCAAAACAAGAGCTGTCAATTAAAAGCACATGGTATCCACTGCTTAAAACAAATACATATTTTGAAAGCCATCTTTTGATAGCTTTGCAGAGAGAGATAATTACATAGTGGGTAGATTGCTGGACCAGAAAGGTACTCTGACTTCCACAGGGTGAGTCCAAATTTGAAGAGGGTATTAGCAGGGCACACATATACTGTCATGTGATAGACAAAAATCCCATGACTGCAGTCATGGAGCAGGAATTCTAACAGTTACTGCCCCCCTCCTCATATTTCAGCAGGTGGTTGTTCTTTACACTGCACAGGGAGTTGGGTGGGTTGGCTTACCAGGTGAGCGCCAGACTCTGACATTATAATTGCCCACAATGCCCCAGAGCAACATAACATCATTCTGGGGCATTTTGGGCAATTGCAGTGGCAGCTGCCTGGCATTTTTATGAGATGATGTTGGACCCTGGAAGCCACGGTCCAGGTTCAGGGCAAGCAAAACAAGCAGCAAAGAAAAGTGTGGAAATAGAGGTTGTAAAGCCTTTAAAATGTGCCTTTCCACTGAATCCCAAAATGCCCCAGTGTTGCCCTTGCAGTACTCAGCAGGAGGATGGAGACAAAACTAGAATTAGTTGGCTCTGCCTTCCATTGGTTCTGACTCTGCTTATCATTGACTCTGACTCCTGTTGGTTTGCCTTTCTGCTCTATCAGTTCCAGTGATCACCGGTCACCACTGTGCGTTTCCGTCTACAGTGTTGGGCCCTGGTGCAGGAAAGCAGCACTGCAATCAGAAATGATTGGGGCACCCTAATCAGTATTGGCATTCCACCGGCTTTTGAAGACACACCTGCTTGGATCAGCATTCCCCTGGAACATCACCTTCTGATCTTATTGTTTTAAACTATTTTAGGGTTATAGTTTTTAGAATTAGGGATGTTTTGATGCAGTGGTGGAATTGTTTTATTGTGCTTTTTAAAGAATGTATAGGTTTTATAATTGATTTTATAGTTGCAAACTGTTTAGAAGCCATTTTGGCTTGTAAGCAGTATATACATTTAATAGAAACAACAAGAGTTGAGATGGGGGGAACACACACGCCACAGCAATGTTTTCAATATCCTGACCTCATCATTTTATTACACTCTGCTGGTGACTTGGTAGCTTCACCGTTAATTAGAAACATGAGGGACAGATTCATTTTAAAATGAAGCACATGAACATTAGGCGTAATGCTGCCCTCTAGTGATCTCAGCTTGTAAGTTTATCTAATGTTAAAATAATACTTGGAGAGAGGGGGAAATAAACTTACCATCAGCTCCCCGTAGGAGGACAGGAGACCTGCTCCATAGGCTTTAATAGTTCCATTTTGTTTGCAGAGTCCAAACTCAACAGTAAACCAATAGAGCTGGTAAATACAAAGAGTAATGGGGTAGAAAACTCCTCTGAGAAGTCCCAGCCCCACCAGGTTATCCTGTGATTGCATGTAGTCACTATGTCCATGGAAATACACTGCATTACGTTGCAAATTTATTTATCTGCGTTAATGTTGCTCCTCAAAGGCAGCTGTCTGCTGGTGACCATTTTGATTTCCCCACAAAGTCAAACAAATGTCAAACAAAATGGTGGCTGTTGAGGCCAACAAAACTTAGTCCTTTGGGGTGGGGAAATTGAGGGGAAGCATCTGCTAGACCCACCTTGGGTTCTGTTTCTCATGCTAGAAGACAGATAGCCAATGCTGTGCCCTTCATATCTTGTTGGACTACAATTCCCATCATCCCTGACCATTGGCCGTGCTGGCTGGGGCTGATGGGAGTTGGAATCCAAGAATACTCAGAGGGCAACACATTGGCTACCCCTGTGCTGGAATGTGACTATATCACATTGCAAGAATCACAAAAACTTTGCGTACACAGATCAGGATGAATGCTCCATACATTGGGATGCCATCTGGGTTTGTTTGGGAATAATTGTGTGTGTGTCTGTGTGTGTGCGTCTGTGTGTGTGTGTGTCTGTGTGTGTGTGTATCCATGAAGAGGATGCAATTTGCATTTTCTACCTCAAGACACCCAAATTTCCTGGCATTAAAAAACAAAATAAAAATAAAAAACCAACCACTGAGCATTTTCTAGGGGAGCTTGAAATAGCTTATATTTTGAGCCTTTGGTATTATACTTGCAGTATGAAAATACATAAATATATACTCACTGTTGACAGTTTTTCTATATCAGCATCAGATGCTCCAAGAGAAGCTAACCCAATATCCTAGATCAAAGATCAATATATTTATTGAAAGGCTGGTTTATGAGAACATACAGTCCTTTTCTGTGAATTATTATTACACTGAAGGTATGATCCTTAGCTTAAGGGCAAACATCTGTGTAGTTTTGTATGCCTGTAATTTCCCCCAGTTTAATCTAGTATATCATGTAGGTTAACAATAATAACAATAAATTCAGAGCTAATGCAGCATATTTGGATTATAGTTTAGCCAAGTGTGCACGATACAGGGAAGCATAACACATAAATTTCTAGTATGAAATAGTCTTTCCTGGTCCACACCCATGTGATTTGAGACACATCTGGCAACATCAGTGCAGAACTAGGAACCAAATCGCTTGCACTTAAAAAGTGATGTAATCCAACCATGCTCAGCTGAACACAGAATAGAAAAAGTTTGACTCATTTCCACCTTAATGAAACCTAGCAAAACTATGTCATGTTGAGTAGCGTCATTACCATTTGTCCATTCTCAAGGAGGAAGTAATGCTCTTGTTAGTGCAACTCTGACACTACTTGAAGCAAAGGTTTTTGGAGGTTTTTTTAGGTAAAATAAAGGCCATCTATAACCCTCTGCCACATATCTATCAGATGAATCCACAACCTATTTCCCCCCCTTTAAATTGCCATGCCCCTGAAGAGCACAGACAATTCCAGGATGCCTTTTCTGGCTCATCCAACCCCTGAAACCTTTGAAAATGGCTGGATCAAATAATTTAGCCCCCTACTATCTGGCATAAATAATCGGGAGTTGAACTGAACACTCAGGGTTGAACTGAGCTTTTCGGCCAGACCAAGGAATTGTGCAACCTCCTCACACTTGAGGTTTGGAGCTCTCCAGACCCTGGTCCCATAAAAATAGGTCTAATATCTACATCGTTCCCTTCTTTTCAAGTCTTGGAGGCTACTGCACGCCATCCCTCCTATATAATACATCCCACCTGAGTGAAGCCTGCAACTCATTCTGCTTTGGGTGGGTGGAATTAGGTAGCAAGTCCAGTGGTTTCCTATCTGGCATAAATGATTCTACAGAACAGGGGTCGTTCCTGATCATTGGCCATGTTGGCAAGCACTGAAAGGATCTGGGGTGCACCTACATTTGGAGGACCACAAGTTCCCCGCCCTCTAGATTGAGGATAATCTTATGTAGGAGACTCCTGTATATCAGACTATTTGTCCACGTGGCCCAGTGTTATCTACTCTGACTTGCCGAGGCTCTACAAGGTCTCAGACTTTCCTTGTTGTTAGCTTCCTGTTCCTTTTGACTGGAGACACCTGCAACAGGTGACTTCCTGCATATAAAACATGTGCCCTTCCACCAAGCCACGGCACCTTTCCCTGTCAGAACAACAGAAATGTTACCTGAGAGAACTGGGCAAATTCTTTGTCAGCTAACATGGGAACGTGGCCCAGCAGTTCGTGACAGCAATCACTGTGAAAACGAAAACATGTGCTGTTGTTTTTTAAGAGTCATAAGATGTGTCCTTTGCGTCTACCTGACAATCCACATCTCAATCCAGAGAATGTACCTAAGATGCCTCTTTAAACTCCACAACACAGCAGGTGATAGTGACAGTGGCTTTAGTGGACTGTTCCTTTCTTAGTCCTCTTGAAGAAAGAAAGAAAGAAAGAAAGAAAGAAAGAAAGAAAGAAAGAAAGAAAGAAAGAAAGAAAGAAATTGCGGGAGGCGACTGCATGTGATCAATGCCAAGTGAAGTTTGAACCTCAGACACATTTATGCAACTTCTAACGAAACAGAAATTTGGCATCTCAAATGCTGATGTTGGATCCTGATCTCAAGATCTGAAAGCCAGTGGAACGTAATAAAATACGGATGGTGGGCGGGGTGGGAGGTGGGGAGAGATGGATAATAGAAGTTACCGTGTGGCCAGAGAAGGGTGTTGCGTGTGAACAGATCATAACAGATTGATGCTGACAGTCAAAACTATGCTCATGCCAAACGGAGTGAGAATCTTGAAGACTTCCTATAACCTTTTCCTGCTCCCAGCGGCTCTCTGAGAAATAGAGTCCTCACAACCCCCAATCCTAGAGGAACAGAAATATTGTGCTATATGGAAGCACTGAACCAGCTTCTACAGAGCCACTGCTGGCCTCCCTGGCCACTCCCTGAGAGTGACTACATGATCACCCGACTCCTACTCACGGTTCTGGGGAATGCATTGGGGAAGACGAGTGCCTGATGTATTGGGTTGTCTGAAAGACACGGAATGCCAGGCTAGCAAGGAAATCCCGAGCCGACAGAAGCCCGGCAGCTGGCCTCAGCTTGAAGCCAGTTCTTTCTGCAAGGAAAATTAAAGGAGGAATAAAATTCGGAATAGGCATTTGTTTATTTATTGCATCCAAATCACTTAATGCAACCTGCCATGCCCTGCTCAGTTTTCATGAATGCCATCATGCCATGGAAACATGTCTTTACCTTCCTCTGACAGGGCTCTCCACTCTAGCTGTGGAATACTTCGCTCATGTGTTCTTCTCACTAAATGATTCTGTAACCCTCTCAGGTTAATAATTCTTCGCAAGCAACTTGCAAAATTGTGTAATATAAAATTGTAACTACAACAACACACACACACACAACACACAGTCATGTTCTTAAACATGGATATCTCAAGAGTTGATGAGCTGGGGTAGAGGAAGGGAGAAGTATTTAGTAAGAAGAGTAACTTGTAAAAACTTTTACTTGTGATTTATGGCTCTCCAATAAATGTTGGGCTGCAATAAAGAATAGGGGAGGTGGGCAGGGGGCTCACTTGGACCGAATGCTTAACGTCTCCTGGAAACCCAAAGAGAGTTGAAAGGAAATTCATGACCAGTTGCCCTAAAGGAACTTACAGGAACAAATTTCTACTCTTAGCCTCCAAATACAGCTACATAATTTTTTTTCCCTTTTTGGCTATAGGTTTTCGTTCCTTGGAATAAAATCATGTCTAGTATCTGGATAGATGCATTCCAGAAACACAATATTCTCTCTCTCTCTTTAATGACTTGGAAAGCCATCCTTCAGTTTTGTACCAAGGTAGTACAAAACCAGTTGCCATATTGTGTATCGAGGCCCCATGACCACCCTGTTCCCTAAGGGATAAATAACTAGACACCACACAGCATATTGGTTTGGGATCAAATAAGGCCACAACTTTATTGGTTACACATGTGAAGTTTGGCCATAGGCACTGTGGTAAGCAACTACACATGTCACTCCCGCTCATCCGCTGGGAGTGTTCCTAAGGGTGAAGCTGAGGGGAGGGGTGCCCTATGACCTACATCAAATTGGGGCGTCCCCCAAGCGGTCCCTCTTGGAGGAGTGGTATGGCCCTAGCCTCCATCTGGGCATTGGGCAGGAGCCACTCCTTCCGGATCCCTTTAACAGGATACCCTTACCCATGGAGGGGCAAGTGGAAGCTACAACCTCCCCTCCAACCAAGACTATGCTTACCCAATGCCTATCCTCCATACAAAGTTGTGATGATTGCTATGAGGTAGGCAAAAAGCCAAATGGCGGCGCCAATTAGCCAAGTGGGGGAAATTCCTGCCCGGCCCCTGAAAAATTAGGTGACTGATATTGTACATAGCAAGGTTGAACCATCCATGAAAAGCACTAATCTGAGGGATGGAGGGTGGGAGAACTGGCACAGCAAGAGAAAGACCAAACGGCCATGCTGGCCAGGCATTTAAACTTCACCTGGACGCAACACCAAGGGCTGCAATTGGTTGGTTGGTCCTGTGCCCAAGGGAACACCCACTAACTCCTGCTGCCATTGGCCCATTTGTCAGCAGGAATACGAGCCGGCCTGTGATAGGTCAGTTTGCCAGGAAGGCCTGGGGCCCACCCACAAAGCCGCCCACCCAAAAAGGGGCGAATGGACTTTTAGGGTGATGCATGGAAGCCAGTTGCCATATTTTAGGAGGTGGAAGATGGGATAGGTGAACTCATCCCACCTCAGTTTTGGATTTGGCTCTGAAATGGGCTTGAGCCAATTCTGAACTACTGTTGGGTGTGCCCCATTACAAACCCCCCATTTCCAGACTTCACTTCTGCCACTCATAAGAACACCCTTACTTGGTAGCAGTCCTACTGCCATACCTCCTTACCTGTTAGAAAAGCAGAGACATCCTGCAGCTGAGGGATACGGTCTGCTTGATACCCGCAGTATTTTTCCAGCTGATGAAAGGCCTCCAGATATTGGTGGCAGGCATGAGTGGGATAAAGACTGCTTAGCTTCTGGTAAACTTCTCTCCTGAAAACAATAGGGGTGTTAGCTTACAATGGACCTCTTTGCAAAGAGCATATTTTAAATGATACACCACACACATAAGACACGCTTTTCTCATAACAGCGACAGGACTGCGGGGCATGTTGTCATCATGTGCACATGTTGCAGGGCATGCACACATGGTGTGGTGACATCGTGTGGCCCTAGGCCACCTCAGTTCCGGAGGCAAGGCAATGTGCCTGCCCCTTGAATGCAGGAATCTCAACTAAAGCATCCATGACAGATGGCCATCCAACCTCTGCTTAGAAACCTCCAAGGAAGGAGAGGCCACCACCTCCTGAGGGAGTCCATTCTACTGTTGAACAGCTCTTACTGTCAAAAAGTTCTTACTGATGTTTAGTTGGAATCTCCTTTCTTGTAATTTGAAGCCATTGGTTTGGATCTTACCCTCCTGAGCAGGAGAAAACAAGATTACTCCATCTTCCATATGACAGCCCTTAAGATATTTGAAGATGGCTATCATATCTCCTCTCAGTCTCCTCTTTTCCAGGCTAAACATACCCAGCTCCCTCAACCATTCCTCATAAGGCTTGGTTTCCAGACCCTTGATCAACTTGATTGCCCTCCTGGATCGATGGGGGCACCACATGGACATCTGCTACTGGTATTTCATGGTGTTCACTGTGGTGAACACCAATATGTACGTGGAAAATTATTTGCCATGTAAAGCAGATATGAGGAACCTGTTGCACTCCAGATATTGCTGGACTCCAACTCTATCAGCCCCAGTGAGCAGGGCCAGCAGTCAGGGATGATTAAAGTACTGTAACTGTCCTTAAAGGGAAGAAACATGTTTAGTTGTTGGAAAGAGAGCATGTAATAATCATGCAATGGCATGGAGCCTTGTGGAAGTAGGTTTTTATTCAGCTCTGGGGCTCTCACACATTTGTAAACATTGTTTTATGAAAATTGAGGTCATTCTTGGAAATGCTGACTAAGCCAATAACATTTTCCTGTTTGTATTGTATCTCTCTCTCTCTCTCTCTCTCTCTCTCTCTCTCTCTCTCTCTCTCTCCCCTCTCTCAGCTGCTCAAGTGTTGCTATGAAGGGTGAAATTCAGCATCACATAATGGTTGCCCCTATTTTCAATACATATCAAGACTAGGGTGCAGTTTAAGTTAAAGAATGAGAAACAAAAGATATCAGCTTCTATTGTTAGTACTGTTTTTAAAAACCCCAAAAAGCTTTATGAGCTTTAGACCACTTCCACAATCAGTCAGGAAAAGTTCGGGAGAGCAAGAAACCAAACTTGTGCTTCCTACGCAGCATGGTTGAATTCAGCAAGATATTTGGTCCATTATTCTGTCCTATTTCTTCTTATCAAAAGCAGGGGTGAATAATCTGTTTCAGTTCAAGAGCTGCATTCGCTTGTGGGCAACCATGCCAGTGGTGCGCAGGGCCAGAGGCAAAAGTGGGGAAAGGCCCTGCAGGGTGTAGGGTAACCCAGCATCATCTAAGCCTCCCTGTGAGGAAATCAGAATGATTTCTGATTTTGACACATCATCAGTGGTCCCTGGAGGCATCCTGTCATGGCTAGTGGTCATGAATTTCTCTAAACCTCTTTCAAAGCCATCCATGTTGGTGGCCTCGTGCAAGTGATCCCGAGAGTAATGCAGTTACATAATTAGACTCCAGACTAACTGTGGTGCCTTCGTGGTGCTTTGGTGTCCTCCAGATCTTTAGACTACAGCTCTCATCAGCTCCAGCTAGCATGGCAATGGTTAGGGATGATGGGCATTGTAGTCCAAAACATCTGGAGGACATTATATATATATATATATATATATATATATATATATATATATAATATTTTATTAAAGTTTTCTTGGTTTACAAAGGTATGCACAATGTCTCTTTTTTCAAGTTACATTTTCCATAGGTCAGTTTCATTTGTTGAGACATTAGGGTTACATTAGGAAGAAAAAAGGGGAGAAGAGGTGGTGGGTGGGGGTGGGGTCGGGGGGCGATATTTCTATTTTGCTTAATGTATGTGTGGGTTTTTGTGTCAGCGTCGTTTGTGCAGGTTCTATTTGCTATTCGCTTCTGTTCCTTTGGTGGTGAGAGAAGTTGGGGTTGGCCTAGGGTGAGGTTGCTTGTTTGTGCTTGGCAGTGTTGAACTTTGTTTTTGTGTGTGAGTGGAGTGTGTGTGTGTGTGTGTGTGTGTGTGTGTTTGAATCAGGTTAGCCATATTGATTCATATGCTGTTGGTGGATTCTTGTCATTGTCTTCTTGGGCTGTGTATGTGATGAAGGGGAGCCATACCAGGGTGAAGGTATCGTCTTCTATTTGTCCCCGTGTCAGTTTCAGTTTTTCGGTTAATTTTTCTAGTAAGGCTGTTTCCCATGCTGTTTGGTACCATTGATCCATGCTTACTCTTGACAGGTCTCTCCAGTGTCTGGCTATGATGTTTCTGGTTCCTGAGAGTAGGTGGGTTATGAAGGGCATTATATTGACTGCTTTCAGCTCTAGACTGAGGGCTCATCCTTTTGTGCTGTGTCTTTAGGCACAGGTCTGGGATTTCTGGGTCTGAGTGTGACTCACAGTTTTTTTCTACTGTTGCTGCTGCTGCTTTCCCCGGGGAAAACTGTGTTTTACTGCTGAATCAAAGCAAACAGCAGTCGAGTATTCTGTGGATTGTCATTTGCTCTGATTCAGCAATAAAAAATGAGATTTCCCAGGGAAGGCAGCAGGACGAAACAAAAACAAAAAACCCCTGACTTGGACCTGGAAATTCCAGACCTGTGCAGAAAAGCAAGTGTGGAAGACTCAGCCCTGCTGTGTTCATGAAGCCCTGCTGTTCATTCTGTTGTGCCAGGCTTCTACCCTAAAGACCTACTCTGATGGCTCCACCGTATGAAAGTGGTCCCTTTGAAGTGCGTAGCTAGAACAGAGACCTATTGAATTGTTTAGGGGAAAAATATCAGCCACTTTGCTGAGCTACTGAGCTGGCCAAAGAGTGTGATGTCCCGGAATCCGGAAGAATAATTTGTGGTTTGAGTTGGAATATGGGGTGAGGGTCAGTATACCCATCTCTTCTCCTAACTGGACCCAGGCACAGACTGTAAACTTGGTTTGCATTTTGGCCACCAGCCACCTAACTGCCTCAACAGTCTACAGCTGCTTAATGCACTCTGTAAATCCCACTGGTTGGTTTTACGCTAGATGTGAACATTGCACAACCAACGTCTTATTTATTTGTCACCTAATATTACGAAATGTCTCTAGATGACTTACAGGGGTGCCAATTTGAATAAAATATTGTGGGGGGGGGCAGGTAAGCTCCGCCCCACATAGTCAATCAGATGATGCATTGCACACACACCATTTAAATGGGAATGCCCATCAACTTTGCAGAGGCCTGGCCCCCTCTAATATTTTATTGTGGGGACTGAAGCCCCCACAGCCCCTAGGAGTTGGCTCCTTTGATGACTTACTACAATACCACCCTCCACCAAGAAATGGCTATAAGCAGGATCATCATGCAGTAGTACCTTGGGTTACAGACACTTCAGGTTACAGACGCTTCAGGTTACAGACTTTGCTAACCCAGAAATAGTACCTCGGGTTAAGAACTTTGCTTCAGGATGAGAACAGAAATCGCACGGCGGCGACATGGCAGCAGCGGGAGGCCCCATTAGCTGAAGTGGTACCTCAGGTTAAGAACAGTTTCAGGTTAAGAATGGACCTCCAGAATGAATTAAGTTCTTAACCCGAGGTACTACTGTATTCCCTCAAAACCTTGGAATAAGAAGCATGTCCTAACCTGGGACCGAAAGGATGTTCCTGTCAGTATCAACCAGGCAGCCTCACTGGGATAGGCATTCTATAAAAAGGGGCCACCACTCAAAAGGCCCTCTCCCTTGTATGAATCTCACTTTGATGGGGTGCCTGGAGAGGGGCCTCTGCTTCATATGTTGGAATCAGATGTGCCGTGTTGCATATGGTTCGAGGTACCACTATTATTTTCCATGCCAGAGAATGGAAAGGTGGGAAGGAGCCATTTTACATTCTCACCTTCCCCCACATGTTCTACGGTTTTTGTGGGCCATTGTGACACCAGGCACTTACCATGTAGCCGTTTCCTGGGCTGTGTACTCAACTCTTGGCAATGGGTCACCCCTGTAAAAGAGCACATGTGATTAGAAGTCCCTTACATGCTACAAATATAGGAGATACCAAGGATCTTCTAGAAAGTGTCCCTGAGGCCTATTGTTTGTTGATCAGGGACAGAGCTACCAACTTGAATAAAATATTGGTGGGCCTAGGTAAGCCATGCCCCACATAATTTTAATATATGTTATTATTATTAATATAAGCCAAAATATTCTTTAAAATAACTACAGACGTTCACTATCTTTTAGAAGTTCTCCCTTTTCTTCCTGTTTTCCAACAGAGGAGGCTACAGAAGTCTGCAGAAAACTATACTACAACTGCATGAATGTATGAGCGGTGAAGAAAAATGGGAGAATGGTTATTGCTTTTGTTTTGTTTTATTGTGCACTTACTGTCTGAAATTGAAGGCCAGGTCCGCAATAAAAGCCCTTCGCTTCCTGTATTCAGCATCGGTGTATCCCTAAAATTGGATTGAGAGACAACACTTCACTGCAGTAAGTAGAATAGCCAAAAAATATAATATAACAAGATCCAAATTCTTAGCGTATGAATGTAGTTCTGATAATGGTTGAGATAATAAAGAAAGGCTTCATGGAGGAGGGCAAATGAAGTTAGCAACTGTCCAGTTAGATCTGCAAATCATAGAGTTTATGAACTGGGCAGCACTCAGTTACCACCAGGTCTAAATAACTCACCGGATGGTCATGATCCAGATCAGGGTCAAATTTGGTGATCAGATGATGGCAGTTGTCAAGGTCTCGTATTTTCTTTGGGAACCACGGTGCTGCAGCCGAGGGAGTAAACCACAGATTGTGAGTGCATGCAGGGCCGTCTTAAGCATATCCGGCACTGTAGTGCAAAGATCCCTCTGGCACCCCCCCTTTCCCAGAGTTGTCGACCCTTTTTAAGGGGGTGGACCCCAAAGTTGTTGACCTTTTTTAGGAAAGGTTCCCCAGAGTTATTGACCTTTTTTTGGACCTGACACCACACTTACACATTATCTCTAACAAGCCCTTAGAGCAGAATAAAATGAAAAGGCAGAAGCCCAGCCAGATGGGCAGGGTATAAATAATAAATTATTATTATAATTATTATAAAATCTAATGAAGTCCTCAATTCGAAAGCAAGACTCATTCAAGACTCAGCAGTTCTTCTAGTTCATCCTCATGATTTAAATCACCACATATGAAAAAGTTAAAACAATCACCAGTTTGTTGTTCTTTAAATAAATTAATATAGACACAGACAATGAAGTTCCCAGCCAATTTGTGTTTAAGTACAAAGCTGACGTTTTCAAATATTGGGGGTTGGGTGTGTGTAAAGCAGGGACATCCTGAACCTAAAAAGGACCCAAAACTTGGGTCACAAAGGCTGCAGCCCTAACTGCACTTACCTGAGAGTAAGCCCTGCTGAATCTAATAGGACCTTACTTCTGAGTAGACAGTAGGACTGCAGCAAGAAACACAGTTGGGAATTAGGGATTTCTGTTTTAAGTCTCAACCAGAGGAAAATGTAATATTGGAAATTAGGGAGAAAGGAATATGAATAGATTGGGAAGAGGGGGCTGACGAGAGACCAAAAACCACAGGTAACAAGACAAGGCACATTTTCTGGGGGGCAAGTCTCACACACAGTTGCTCAGGGCAAGGACTGCAGAGGGACCATAGTTGAGTTGTGCGTGTGTGCTTTTCAGAAAAAACGTAGAATTGGAAGGGACCCTGCGGGTCATCTAGCCCAACCCCCTGCAATGCTTTTTAGCTTGCATTGATCTAAAAAACCTTCAGTGCCTTTTTTTTTAGTTGGATAGGCAATTAACAGGCTTATTTTACAAATAAGGGAGAAGGAGGGTTGCTGGCTTGGTTTGCCTTTGTTCTAGTTTTTAGCATGTGCTTAGTACCATAGTTTCAGGCTGTGAGCCGTCCTGATATCTATAGGTGGAGGTCAGTAGTAGTAGTAATAGTAGTAGTAGTAGTAGTAGTAGTAGTAGTAGTAGCAGCAGTAGTAATGGTGATGATATTTTTCGCAGGGCTTGGAGTGGGTAATGGCCAGCTGCTGGAATGAATGGGGTTGGTGCTAAATGGTCTGGATTGCTTTAAAACCCCTAGGGACCTTGTTGGTGGGGGGGTGAAGAAGGAGCCCACCCCCAAAGAGGAAGGAGGAGGAGGAGGAGGAGGAGGAGGAGAAGAAGAAGAAGAAGAAGAAGAAGAAGAAGAAGAAGAAGAAGAAGAAGAAGAAGAAGAAGAAAAGCGAAGGGAGGAGGCTTCCCTCCCCCAGGATAGAGTTGCCCATAACATTAAACACAGGGCACGATTCCAGGGAGAGAGAGAAACCAGGGCAGCAGCTGCTGCTACTCACGGCTTGGGGTGGTGTATCTGAACAGGACGGGCAAGGGCACCCTCCAAGTAGGGCTGCAAACCCAGCATGGAGGCTCTGAGGAAGAAAGGGGGCAAGTCGTGGGGGCACCTCTATTCTTCTTCTTCTTCCTTCCTCCTCCTCGCTCTCCACTACCCCCTCACCATCGCCCACCTCCCTCTTTCCACAGAGTGGGCAGGTGAAAGAGAGAGAGAGCGCTGCACACCAGCCAGCCATATAGTTGGTGGGGCGCAGCTTCCATCCTAAGCCTCTGCAGGGATCACTCTCCTCCTGCGGAGGCTTGGGAAGCAAGCTGCACGCCCGCCAGCGTTGGGAGTTGCAGCTGGCAGGTGCAGGGAAAGGGGAGGCCACCAGCAAAGCTGCACAGCTCCCCCACTCACCGGGGCGCCCCTGAGAGGCCAGCGCCCTGGCGCAAGGCGCCAGTAAGCCCAATAGGAAAGACACCTCTGAGTACATGATACCTACATCATGTGGGGGTTGAACAAGAGCTGGAGTCGCTGCAGCTCATATAATTTAGATGGAACACCCCAGATATGCTGGCCAGGGATGATCACTCCTGGTGATGGATTCCCATAACCAAGACTTCAGCAATCATAAAGCAGGCTTAGTTATTTTTGGTATTACCGCTTAATAAACCCTTATGAATGTTGCACTACTGATTAAAAAAAATGTTTATGTGTCTATATGGAAAAGTGAGGCAGAAGCCCAAGAGATTGCTTACCTCTTTCTTCTTGGTTGGCTTTCACATCCTCCGCCACCCTCTTTAAGGAATTAGTGAGGCTGCTGACCTCGCAGTTAGGAACTTCACATCTCACGAAAAATTCAAGGTCATCTGCAGTGTTTCTAGATACTTTAGCTGGTCTGCTTTCAAGGTGATAGATTTTAGTATCGAACACCTGTAGAAGGCAGTCCCACATAAGCAGGTATTGTGTGTGTGTGTGTGTGTGTGTGTGTGTGCAATTGCAATGCACAGGGTTGTTCACAAAAGTAACAAGCAAATCAACAAAAGTAGCAAGCAAATAAAAGTAATAAAATACGTATTCGACTTCCCCTCCTTCCCAGAGCAATCTGGAACCAAACCTTTTGTTTAACCGGAAACTGTGCTACACAGCCTTATGCATCTCTACCTGGGAAGTTAAGTTGCATTGTATTTGAGTAAGATTGGTGCCCATTTAAGTGCACATGGAATTGCAGCTCTAACAAAATCACCATTAAAAGTGTGGCCACTAGCCTTAATGGTCATGTTCCGCATCCACTGTCAGAGGCAGGAAGCCTCAGAGTACCAGTTGCAGGGAACCACCAGTAGGGCGAGGACTGTAGTTCTTGGCTCCTGTTAGTGGGCTTCCCAGAGGTACCTGGCTGGCCACTGTGTGGATACTGGAAAAGAGGGGTCCTCCTTGGACTGGTCCAGCAGGAATCTTCTTGTGTTATTGAGGCTCATATGCAAATATTCCTCTACCACAATCATTGGTAGGGCATGTTGGTAATTATCTCCACATCTCTTCATCACCCTGCTCCAAATTAACATTTGATGCACAGTTTTGGGCAAACGTGCTGGGTGTTTACTCATTAAAAAAAATGAATTAAGTTGGTGATGATCACTGAAAACTAATACGCTGCCCCCTACAGACATTTATTATTTTTCCACTGCTAAGATCTTAAAAACATTTTCATTGCTTTCTATTGCAAAAAAGGAAATCAATATCAAAATAAGCCTCACGAACCTGTATATAAAGCACTTTTTTAAAAGAAAGAAAGAAATCAGAGTCTTGTAGGATCAAATCCTCACTTTGAGCCAATCTCATCTTAACAGGGCAGGCTAAAAATGGGGACGAATAAAACTCTCAGGCTCCTTGGAGGAAAGGCGGCATATCAGTGTGATAAAGAGATGTACCTCGAACACTTTGGCCGCCCTAGAAATGCCCGCTTTTCTCCCGTTGCGGAGGGCGAAGGTCAGGGTCAGTGTGGCTTTTCCCGCAGCCTCTCTTTCCCCCGCAGAAGGTTCTTTCTTGGTCGACGGCTCCATCCTCGAAGGCAGCTCCTCGTCTAGGTTCGCGCGTGTCTGCCGGGGAAGAGGTCCTGCCTCAGCCTTTCAGTCGAGGCAAAGCAGTCTTGGCTCTTTCTGGGAGGAGGCGGAGATCCCACCTCGCCTTCCAGGAATGGCGGCGGCGGCGCCTTTACGCACCTGGCTCAGCTTGGCAAGCAATCGAGGAGCTGTTCGTGGGGAGAGGGAAATCTGCCCACGACGGCTGGGGACTTGTCCTCCAGCACTTGGGACGTGGGCTCCTGTAACCCAGAGGGGCGAGAGATGGCGCAGTCTCTGCTCACGTGTGGCCGGTCCCACCAGGAGAATTGTAGGGGGGACCAACTTGGGAAGGTACTCCAAGCAGCCCCTTAATAATAATTATCATTCAAAGCAGGGCGAGTTCCCCCCTCGACTGGATATTTTGACCTTACCGATTGGTGAGCTTTATGCTCGCTTTAATGTTGACGGGTGTTAAATTGCTAAAATGTCTGTTAAGTTGTGCATTGTTGGGGTTTCTTTTTAGTTATTGGTTCTAGCCAGATGGGCGGGGTATAAATTATTATGATTATGATTATCATCATCATCATCACCACCACCACCACCATAGATTTGTCTCCTTGTTGTACAACTGTTTAGGGGTTTTTTGTTTTTTAAAAAAACGCCCTGAGCACAGATATATTTCCTGGGAAATGGGGGGTATAAATAAATGGATTATTGACTGGTATGTATGTGTTATTAAAAGTGTTTATAATTCGCCCTCCATCTGTACAGATTACCTATTCAGAACATAAGATAAGGACGATCAGTCGAATTATAAAATACGACAAAGAGCCAGAAGTATGGTGGTTTGGTTATAGACTCCGGCTAGGATTTGGGTTCAAATCACGACTCAGCTATGAAGCTCATTGGGTGGCCAGGGGCCAGTTTGTGTCTCTCCTCCTAGTCTACTTCATAGGGCTGTTGTGAGGATAAAATGGGGAAGAAGGAGAACCACGTGCGTCTCTTGGTTATAGATGTAACGATATAGATTTAGGTGGTGTTTTATTGCAGTGTGTTCCGCTGATTTTATGTCATGCTTTATGTTCAAGGGACTGATAAACTGAATAGAAAATAATTAATTGGTCGATTCGTGTATAAAGCCCGTCAAACTAAACAGGCATCGGAAAACAACAGAGTCTGTTAAACTATGATAAATTTCTGAACCTCCAAATACGTGGGCTGTCTGGCGTCGGTCCAGACACGCACCCTACACTCGGTATGGATCTGCAATTGTGTGTTGCCTTGTAAGGAAGAAAGTCCGACTTGGATGGCAGTTGTGCATTTGCAAAATGTTTTGTACTGCATTGGTTGCTCACCTGACATGGGAGAGAAGGTAAGCCGCCTTGAGTCCCTTTCAGGGGAAAAGGCGGTGTATAAATAAATATGATCAGTTGGCATCCGTCTGGGGAGACAACGGAGGGGAAGAAGAAGAAGAAGAAGAAGAAGAAGAAGAAGAAGAAGAAGAAGAAGAAGAAGAAGAAGAAGAAGAAGAAGAGAGCGAAGGCAGATTCCCTGGCCATTGAAAAATAAAGATCTGCTCTCCAAGGTACCGCCAGTAAAGCAGAAGGCGCTTCTCCTCGCGCCAGGTGCCCCCAAACAAAAACCATACGTATTTAGGGAAAATGTAAATGACTTCTTCTGCTGCTGCTGCTATCGGACTTTTTTATCCTGATTTTTGGAAAATCAGTGGCTGGAATGATAATGCTGGATGTGAGAGAAGGAGGCTGATGGCTAAAGATGGGAGGGTTAAAAAAGATAAAAACCCGTCCTTTATTTTAAATCTTCTCACTTGAAACCCAACCACAAACGAAAGGTTTGCTGTGTAAAAACGGACTGAAATATATTACCTCCGTTTAACTCAATGCGTTTGGATAGAGAGCGGGGCAGCAGCGAAGTTATGCCTTGTTTTGTTCTGTTTAAATGCTGTTCATCCTGTCCTCCCAACTTCGTTCGTTCTTAACATTGTGAAGAAATGGACAATGAAATCGTGTGTGTGTGTGTGTGCGTGTGTGTGTGTGTGTGTGAATGATAGAGTTGGAAGGGATGCCGAGGGTCATCTAGCCCAACCCCCTGAAATGCAATAGCAATGCGACGTAGATATCGATAGCAATCAACGTGGATGCTTCTTCCTTAGACAATTCCTGTCCGAGGTGCTGAAACTGCCTCCTAAAAACCCAGTACAGATTCATGCCAAGCTGGTATATATTCCATCCACCCCGATGTGAGGTGGTGCTAGTTTTCCTCTCGTGACCGGTTGTTAACCTCCGGGATCAAGCCGGATGGAGTCATTCTGAAAAATCTTCTTTTAAATCTATTTATCTTCTTTTTAAGCTATATAGGCACCTACAATTAAGCTAGGGGTGGGCAAATATATCACCAGCGGGATATAAATGCCTCTAACTGGGGCTGACTCGAAGACAAAATGAAAGTATTGGGGTGTTTGTTTGTTTTTGTCTGTCCTGCTACTAAAAAGACAATGAAATAAAGCTAAATGGCGTGGGGGGTGGTGGTTAGAGGGCCGGACTAGGATCTGAGAGATCAGGGTTCGAATTCCCACGCAGCCATAAAGCGCATAGATGACTTAAGGCAGGTCACTGTCGTTCAGCCTAACCTACCTCACGGGGTCGTTGTGAAGATAAAGTGGGGAGGGGGAGAAGCGTGGATGCCGCATTGAGCTTCTTCGAGGGTAGGGGGAGTATAAATGTAGTGCGTATATAAGAGTTAGCGACGAGACACCTTTAGCTGAAATGTAAGAGGGTTTTTTAGTTCAGCCCTACTGCTTTGTTGGTGATAAAATCAGCCACTTTTAACTTAGAACTCAGGCACGATGTAGCTGGTCATTTTTAGCAGAAAAGCTATGGAAAGAATCGGTGACATTTTGTCTTTTTTAAAAAAGTAAGCTGAATTTATTTTGAAAGCTAGATAATGGGGAGAAAGACGGAGACAAAGCAATATGCTGTTTTTAGAAGACGTCAGTTCTAAATTAAACAAGCAAACAAAAACCCCGATGGTATATTTTTATTTCTTGCAGTGGTGTGTATTATTTTATTCCTATCGAGGTCTGCTTCGGTGATCCTTGACAGTGAGGTTTTATGTCGTGAAAATAACAATAAAATACAATAAAAACAGCTAACAGTCTCATCTTCACAGAGTGCGATCTGTGGGCCACTAAAATGCCTAATAGTAATTGTGGAATACAGGCATCATGTTATAGCATGCGCGCCTCCGATATTTTTTAATGAAACTCATAACGCTTAGACGTGGGGTGGGTTTTTTGTTTTTTTTACTGTTGATTTTATTGCTTATTGTTGACTTTTCCCTGGATATTGTCTATGTTTTATTATGGTGCGAACTGCTTTGGTATTCCTTTTGTAAGTGAAAAGTGCTATAAAAATCGTTTAAACTAAATGGATGAAATAAGGGTCGTCCAGGAAGAGCCCAGAATTGGGAAGGTGATCCCCGAAACAAAATCGGTACGCACGTCATCGATCAAAAGACCGAGGAAGGATCTTCTATCGCAGAATCTTCAATTCCATGCCTGCACCGGCGGGGCTCCAGACCCTGAGGTTTTGTGGGAAATGGCTATTTCCACCAGAGACGAGAGTTGGTCGAGGAAATCCAAGTAAACTGCAGTCCTGAAGTGCGAATTATCGCGTCTCCCAAACCATCTAATGAACTCAGCGTTTATTTGAATCCCTGGTCCTCCCAGACTTCTACTTGAATTTTGTTGCAATAGCATTGTCCCCCGAGATATACCGTAATATAGCTGATCTTTTCGGATATCCCCAAGCTTTCGCTCAAATCAAGACTTCCTCAATGTCTTTTGTCTTCCGTACTACAGCTTTACACACCAGGGGCGCGGATCGAGCCAAGTTCAGCACCACCACATCCCGGGAATTTCCGCGGAAGGAGCTCCTAGTAAGTGGGTTGCAGCTCAACAGGACCATGTCTACTTAGAAGTCAGTCCTATCGAGTTCAGTAGGGCTTACTCCCAGGTAGGCACTCATAGGGCGCTCTCCGCCTCTTTAAAGCCTTTGATTTAGGCTGGATCCTGCCCAGTGAAATCTGTTCCATTTCCGCGCGCGCACACACACACCTTGGCTTTGAGTCCCTTCGATAGCTACGATTACTCACTGCAAATGTATTATGCAAATGGGGAGGAAAATATTTTCCAACAACATCAAAGCGTTGCCTCCCCCTCAGTTGTGGAATAGTCATAATACTCCCCGGTGCTCAGTTTTTAGCTCTCAAGAGGCCGTTTAAAAGAACTACTGGAAAACTGATTTTAGGCGCAGAGGCTCTTCCTCTGCCCCCCTGTTAGGGGGACGTTGGTGACTGTTCGGGAGAGACCTGCTCTCCCCACTGAGCTCAGATCTCTTTGGCTTCCGCTGGGCCTTCCTGTCTAGGGAGAATCCAAGGGAAGCAGCTGCCCCAGAGAGTGATATGTGCAGGGTTTTACAGAATCATGGAATGATTGGAAGGGACCACAAGGGTCATCTAGTCCAACCCCTTGTAATGCAGGAATCTTGGATGCAGGGGTGCAGCCAGGATTTATGTTGGGGGGCAGGCTTCATGTTAGGGGGGGCAGAACCTCAGTTAGTTAAGTATTTTTCTTGATTTACTTGATTTAAGGGGGGCAGCTGCACTATGCCCACACTTTGATGCTTCTTCATCTCCAACAACTTATTCAACTATTTGCACCGCTCCTCTGGGAGGATCCTGGAATCCAATGAAATGCTGACATGTGTGGGGGTGGGGTGGGGGTGTTAATGTAGGAGAGACTGAAACAGCACAAACAGGAACTGAACAGGAAGAGCAAACCATCTCTAATGCATCGTGGGTTTTTAAAAATTAAAATTTATTGATGGTTCAAAATCACATAATCAGCTTTAGCATAGCATTGCAAACAGTTAAAACGACGATATAAACAAACAAACAAGAACAGCAAGTAATTAAAAAAGAAAAAGCTGAGAGAAATAAAAGTTGCAGGTGAGGCTATAGCTGTGTATTACCTAGCAATTTATTGATTGTCATTTCAAAGAAGAAAAATAAACTGCATGAAGCTGCATACAGGTTAAGGACACAAGAAGAGCCTGCTGAGTCGGGACAGAAGCCCATTTAGTACAGCATCCTGCTCTCACTGTGGCTGAGCAGATGCCCTTAGAAAGCCCACAGACAGGTCATGAGTGCAACAGTGCTCTGCCCACATGTGATTCCCAATCACAGGCATCCTGGCTCTGAAGGTGGACGACGGAAAATAAATTTGGAGAACAGCCCCCACCATGCTTTGCGTGTGAACTCCTGGATGAAGATGGGTGGCACCCTAAACAACAAAACAAAGGGCAGGATATGTCTGGACCTTCACTGCCAAAAGATCCACTTTAATTCCCAGCTGTGTTTCTACCCAAGACTTTAATGTATAAATCAGATTGGTCCATAGAGAAGGCACAAGTTAAAAGATGCAGTAGGTACATAAGAGGTATAGCATGACTAAGTGCAGGCTAAAATGCTGATGATCCAACAAGCAACATGCCCTCTGTAACTTCCTTCTGAAGAACAGAGTGGATGCAGCTGTTAGTGTGGCAAGTGGCCAGAGTCCTGGGAGTGGGGAAGCAAACAGGCTTTCCTCCCAATTGGTTGAGTCTGTGAAGTTTGTCCATGCCAGCTCAGCATCTGATCTACTCTCAGTTGCCTCCCCTGGAGCACTCCTAGGAGGAGGCACCAGGGGTGGCCCCACAGCAGTGGTGTAGCGTGGGTTGTCAGCACCCGGGGCAAGGCAAGTAATTTGCACCCCCTAACCCGTGGATTTGCGCCCCCTAACCCGTGGATTTGCCCTAACCCCAGATGTTGCGCCCGGTGCGGCCAGCCCCCCCTGCACCCCCCACGCTACGCCACTGCCCCACAGCAGAAGATATCTGGCTATAGATACCACTCTTGGAGGCAGCAATGCTTCTGAAAAGCAGTCACTGGAAACCACAGGAGGGGAGAGTGTTCTTTTGCTTGAATTCTAGTTCCAGGCTTCCCACAGGCATCCGGTTGGTTACTGTGAGAATAGGATGCTCTTATTTTCTTATGTAAGGGACGCGGGTTTCACTGTGGGTTAAACCACAGAGCCTAGGACTTGCCAATCAGAAGGTCGGCGGTTCGAATCCTTGTGACGGGGGGAGCTCCCATTGCTCAGTCCCTGCTCCTGCCAACCTAGCAGTTCAAAAGCATGTCAACGTGCAAGTTGATAAATAGGTACCACTCCGGCGGGAAGGTAAACGGTGTTTCCGTGCACTGCTCTGATTCACCAGAAGCGGCTTAGTCATGCTGGCCACATGTCGGCTCCCTCGGCCAATAAAGCGAGATGAGCGCCGCAACCCCAGAGTCGGTCACGACTGGACCTAATGGTCAGGGGGGTCCCTTTACCTTTATGTTCTTATGTACTAGTGGTGTCCAATGGCACAGGGTGGAAACATTCTTCTGTTAACCCACTCAGCCACTGGAGCCAGCTCTCCGCTCCCTAGACCACTGGCCCCCTCCCCAGGCTCAGACACTTCTTAGGGTCCCAGTTTCACCTCCCACATCCTGCTAGGATCCTCTCCTAGGTTGTCCCACTCTATCTCAAAGCTCTTCCCATTTCTCTTCAGGAGCCAACCCCAAGCCCCCATAAAACCTCCCATGAGATTCATGGCTGTGGATTTTTGCAGGGGAACTTGCTGAGACCTTCTACATGTGACATATGATATAAATGGAGATTACAGACATCTACACTATCACCTGCCTTTATTATAACTGCGATGACAAGCACATTAAATATGTATCACATTTCTACATGCTATTAGTTATTGGTAGACTTTCTTTATTTGTTTTTTAAAAGTTTGATATTTGTTTCACTGTCCAGTCCCATCCCCCATGGCTCTTGGAGCCACCAAAAGGCACCTGAGAGCATCTTCACTTGATCTTCTGGAGAGCGTTGCAAAGAAGTCCCAACTCATCTGCAAAGAAAGGAAGGAAGTCAGTCTTCTGTTTTGCTCTTTCTTTTGCTACAGTTTTATATCCATAGAGCACAATAGAATGTGTACATGGAGTCATTCCCATTTCATCACCTCAATGGCACCAGGTAGACTCAGTGACACAGGTGGCTGTGCATAGATTTGAATCCTGGTCTCCTCAGTCCAAATCCTGCACTCTGCAGAAGCCAGCCTCTGATGAACAGAAGGAGCCAAGAGGGCACAAACTGAATGTACTGGCACCCAAGAAGTCTTAAAACAATGAATGTTGTTGATAATGTGATATAGGATGAAGAAGAGCATTGCATTTACAAGGAGGGAGAATGGCATCATCAGGCATGACCGCAGCCTACTTGACTCTGTTTATCTATTTGCTGCATTTATGTCCTGCCCTTCCTCCCCAGTGAGCCCTATCTGGAATCTGGCAGAAGTCTAGCCCTCATTTCACCCTTAAAAAATCCATTTGTAAGCCCATTCAACTCGGAAAATGACAGAAATTTGGCACTGAATGAAATTTGTAGTGGTATCCTGGCATACAGATTTGTGGCCATATCCCAGCAAACAGATATATGGCAAGGCTTGAACCAGGGATTGGCATTGCAGGCAACCGGGTTTTGGTGAAATATTAGTTGAAACCCCCCAAGAGACTTTTTGGACTGTGGAACAGATTTCCCTAGGAGTTAGCTCCTTCCGCTTCTCTGATGTGAAATCAGAGAATTAAGCTTTTACCGATGCAGGATTTTCAACATGTATATATTGGTGCAGGGGGGGAAATCATGCAAAAGATACAGCAGTCTCAGCTGTTTATTCCCCTTTTTTCATCCCCACCTGTGAGTTTCAACACTTTATGACATTCTTCAGACCACATCCATACACAACGCGCTTTCCACTGCACCTAACTATGTTTTGTTCAGTGAGGCAGATTTGTCCCCTGCAATGAGATGACCTGTTTTGACTCCCAGTCCCTGAACCACAGCAAATCTCTTAGTGTGCAGCAGGATCTGAAGGCTCCATTAAAACTAATGGGGCAAAAACAGATGCGCAAGAGTTCTCTGTGGACACTGAGCCAGACCCATAAAGAACTCAGGGTTTGGGTATTTTCACAGGAAAATCGTTGTATATTAAAATACAGTTACTTACTGCTGATGGCATCAGCTAAATTCTTGAGCTGCTTTGTGTTGTCCAGAACTTCAATCCGCTCAGTGTACGGGTTGTAACGGACGGAGAACGGACGGGAAATTGTTGAGGCATATTTCCTAAAGGAGAAAACAGAAACTTTGTCGCATTGTTATGGATTAATACACTGATTGAATAATTTGCATCCTGCTCTTCAGCTGAACAAGCCCCTCGTAGAGACACACATCTTGAGAAGGGATCAAGGTCCCTCCCTTGGTTTGGGATGGAAGATTAAGATTGCAATCCTCTCTGGGGTTCCCATATTTCAAAAAGTAAAAACCAGGACACCCCAAAAGTTGTTGAGCTTTTTAAAGTAAAGGCTACAACATTATTTGAGTTTTGGAGCTTCTTAAGGCATTTCTGGCACAATTTAACCCCCGTTGCTGGTTTTCCAGGACACACGCCCAAATTCCGAAAAATAATCCAGGACGCCATTTTCAGAGGCGAATTCCAGGACATGTCCTGGAAAATCAGGATGAATGGCAGCCCTATCCTATACCCAGTTTCCTGAGAGTAAGCAACACTGAACTTAGTAGGTCTTACCTCTGAGTACACATGCATATGATTGCATTGTATATTTTCATCTCATTTTGCTGTTCTACTTTCTGCCCATAGCTTCGCATTTCTAGCCCCAGTCAACATGTTCTTTCCCCACCCTTCCAGGTGGCATTTTCTATCTAACACCAGTTTAGATTAACTACAGATAAATGTTGATTTATTCAGTTTATACGAAAGTTTTTGATTCCCAGGGTGGCTGGCAGGTGAGTTTCAAGATGCAGCACTGACCTCTGTGACATTTCTGTATTATGCACACACGGAGGGACACTGAATGATCCAACCAAATCCTAACGGAGGTAAAATTATTACCTTAACTTTTGCTTTGCATCTTTGAAACTTTCAGCAACATAGTAAATGGGCTGGAATTCAGTGACAGGATATTTTTGAACTGCTGTCCTTTCCAAATTGAGAGGTTCAATGGCAGGCTTATTTGATAAGCAATACTAAAGAGAAAAAAGCAGATAGGTTTTAATTTTAAATAAAAGTTATAATATAGATATAGATTTTCCTTCTTGTGGTAGAACCTCAAAGCAGTTTACAATGAAAATTAAGATGACCAATATATTATAAATATTAGTATCATTATTATTACTGTCATACAACAGGAGGGCAAGCTTTTTAACTCTAATTATTATTTCTAGCAGCAAACTCCTTGTGGTAAATGCCACAAGGATGGTAACCAAACAGGAGGGAAATATCAGCAGGCCTGAGGTTCACAGAAGTTCAAGAAATCAGAACAAAACAAAACAAAACAAAACAAAACAAAACAAGGAGACAAAAATCTTTATAAAACAAGGACCAGTCCACCCAGAACTGAGCAGCCTTCATTCTACTACTACTGATAGAGGTATTATGCCTCTGAATACCAGTTGATGAGAATCACAGCTGACCCACACCCTGCATGAAGATTTCTCACAGGCATCTGGTTGGCCACTGTGAGAACAGGATGCTTGACTAGATGTGTGCCCCCTGGTGGGCTCATCCAGCAAGCTCTTCTGATGTTCTCATTGCAATGTTTAGTTGCAGGCCCTGCTCACTCTTTCCACTAGTAAAGGACCCCTGACCATGAGGTCCAGTCGTGACCAACTCTGGGGTTGCGGCGCTCATCTCGCTTTATTGGCCAAGGGAGCCAGCGTTTGTCTGCAGACAGCTTCCGGGTCATGTGGCCAGCATGACTAAGCTGTTTCTGGCGAACCAGAGCAGCGCACGGAAACGCCATTTACTGGAGTGGTACCAATTGATCTACTTGCACATGACGTGCTTTCGAACTGCTAGGTTGGCAGGAGCAGGGACCGAGCAACAGGAGCTCACCCCGTCGCGGGGATTCGAACCGCCAACCTTCTGATCGGCAAGTCCTAGGTTCTGTGGTTTAACCCACAGTGCCACCCGTGTCCCTACTCTTTCCAGTAACAAGGGTTGTATTCTCTTTCTTACTGATACCCCTTAATGCTGGAAGCAGAACAGGGTCCCTATTATATGTTATACACACAGGTCCTAATCTAGCTCCATTCACATGGAACTAGCATGGAGCACACTCAAAGGGCCCGACTTATTTGTTGAGTGAGTGCAGAGCTCCTTGCCCATCTCTGGAAGATTATAAGACTTAGAGTCATGGAGTTGGAAGGGACATGGGTGACCTAGCCCACCCCCTGCCATTCAGGGATCTTTTTGCCCAATGCAGGGGTTCAAACCCACAACCCTGAGATTAAGAGTCTCATGCTTTACTGACCAAGGTACATACAAAGCAGACCTACATAAATACGTATTTTTCAATTTTTTAAAATACAGTGGTACCTCGGGTTACAGACATTTCAGGTTATAGACCAGGCATAGACAAACTCGGCCCTACAGATGTTTGGGACTGCAATTCCCATTATCCCTGACCACTGGTCCTGTTAGCTAGGGATGATGGGAATTGTAGTCCCAAACATCTGGAGGGCCAGAGTTTGCCTATGCCTGTTATAGATGCTTCAGGTTACAAACTCTGCTAACCCAGAAATATTACCTTGGGTTAAGAACTTTACTTCAGGATGAGAACAGAAATCGCACGGCGGCGGGAGGCCCCATTAGCTAAAGTGGTACCTCAGGTTAAGAACAGTTTCAGGTTAAGAACGGACCTCCAGAACGAATTAAGTTCTTAACCCGAGGTACCACTGTACAAGATTTGATTTGCAGAAATAGGAACAACTGTAGATTTGTACCTGTAATTCTCCAAATGACGACAGCAGCCCTGCTCCGTATGCCTTTATCTCATTGCCCTCTTTACACAGTCCAAATTCCACAGTAAACCAATAAACCTGGCATAAAGGAAAGTGCAAAGATTATATTTCTTGTGCATGAACTCCCAGATGATCCCATTAATGTGGCTATGAGCCAAATAAAGGGTGGGAGGTACGATGATGGAAAACTACAGGGATGGCTGAATTTTCAAACTTGGGGCTTCAGAACCTTTATCATTTCATAAATGAAGGTATTTTGCCAAGTGTGGTTTCTCAAACCTCTGCTTTCCAACAGACAGCTCATCACCACTTCCATTTTGCAACCAGGACACAGAAGGATAATTAGTTCTCCATGAATAAAGCACTGGGAATGGACACCCATGACCTGCCAAAACTCTCCCATCTGCACAATTATTAAAGATAAAGGAATCCTAATGTTGAAGCCCATCCCCCAAATGAGAACATCATAGAGGTAGAAGGAAGAAGCCCATTCCAGAGATCAACTGCTAATACGCAGCTTGCGGTATATTGCAACCAGAGTGGCAGGCTCTGCAGGAACAGACGCCACATTTAAGCCAGGGCAGGCATAACTAATATGGTGCTCTGCAGAAGTTGCTGGACTACAGCTCTCATCATCTTTGGCCATCGACCATGCTAGCTAGGGCTAATGGCATTTGTAGTTTAGCAACATCTGGAAGTCGCCACATTGACTAACAGGAGACGGAAGAGAGAGGCACATGCTCTACATCTGGCCAAAGGACCCAGATCTCAGGTTCTGATCTGCATGCAGAAGGGCTCCGATTTCAAATGCCTGGCATTTTCTGTTTGTATAAGATTTTGGCCTTAAACTGGATCAACATAATAGTCCATATTTTAAATATTTTCTCTATCTACAAAATGAAACTATTATTTTACAGGGGGATTTCAAGAGCATTCTGCATCCACTGAGCAGGAGCTGTCATTCTGAATCTGGTGCTGGATCAAACTGGGGGGCGGGGTGGATGGCACCTGAATTCTAGAGTTACCGTAGCAAGTTTCTCAATGTATTCATCTGGAGCACCCAGAGAAGCCAATCCGATTTCCTGTAAAAATGAAAGATGGTTGTTTTCAGTTGTTCTTTTTTCTAAAAAGCATTCCCCACCCCCAGTTTGTTTGTTTGTTTTGTGTGGGAAGCACAAGAGCCAAAATTAATTTGGGCAAAAAAATTAAGGAGACTTTCTTTCTTACTTAGTTATTAATGAATAATTCCACCACTCCCCTCCTGATTATGAATCGTTTTGAGTTCATATAGGAAGGTGAGTTTTAGGAAGAAGAAAACTCAAAGTGTAAAAGTATGTCATTTTCATAGCTGATGCCATTTCAACTAAATTCAAGGTGTTGGTACTAACATATAAGGTCCTATACAGCTCGCGACCAGGTTATCTGAGAGACTGCCTTACCCCTTCTAAGAGTTTCTCCTGTTGATGGGGCTTGTGTTTTTAACTGTTTCAATGTACAGTGGTACCACGCAAGACGAATGCCTCGCAAGACAAAAAACTCGCTAGACGAAAGGGTTTTTTGAGCTGCTTCACAAGACGATTTTCCCTATGGGCTTGCTTCGCAAGACAGAAACGTCTTGCAAGTTTGTTTCCTTTTTCTTAACACCGTTAATACAGTTGCGACTTGACTTCGAGGAGCAACTCATAGAACACGGTGTGGTAGCCTTTTTTGAGGGTTTTAAAGACTTTGGTGATTTTTGAAGCTTTTCCAAAACTTTCCCGTCACTGTGCTTCGCAAGACGAAAAAAATCGCAAGACGACAAAACTCGCGGAACGAATTAATTTCGTCTTGCGAGGCACCACTGTACATCACCTTGAGATTGTTGTATAGCAGGTGATTAATAAATCAGTGACAATGATGATAACAACAACATAACATTAATGAGGCAACTTTTAAAGATCGAGCGAAAACTCAATTTTTTTAAAAAAATCTAATTTAAATTCTGAAATGTTACTGAATCTCAAAGTCATGCAAAATGTGATTTTAGGTCTAAGTGACACATCAAAGAAGATAGTTTGAGTCTCTATTCAGGAGCATACCCACCACAAAAACCAGTAGTGAACAAATTGTGCAAGTTTATTAAGGCACAATCCACAAACAGATAATTTCATCTCAGAAGCAAATGAAAAGTTATTTTGCTGTGTTTCCCCCTGGGGGAAAATTTCAGTCTTAATCAGGGCTTTTTTTCATCCAGAACTCAGTTCCGGCACCTCTCAGGTGGGCACCATTGCCATTATAAGAAAACAAGGGAGGTGTTCATGGTGAGTTCCAGCATCTCTTTTTCTAGAAAAACAGCGCTGGTTTTAATCCTAGAAACTCAATCCTTTGGCAACAATATCTGGAGTGTTTGTGCTTATCTAGTTCCTGTATGATGCTTTTTGATTATTTTCTGAAAGGTGTTGTCTGTTGGTTGACTTCTCTTTTTTTACTTACTTGAGAAAACTGAGCAAAGCTGGGATCAGCAAACAGAGGGACATGTCCTAGGAGTTCGTGGCAAACATCACTAGAAGAAAAGCAGTATGAATTAACCCAGAGTGTGGAAAACACTATTCACGCTTTGAACACAAGGAGGAAAGGCTTGAAGTTGCCCATCAATCACAGTAAGCAGCCGGACTGCAGACTGAGCAGGTACACACCTCACCTGGCCCCAGCCTTTACCACTACTGTGAGATGGGTTGTGCGTCTATTTCAATCACAGCCATTCTTTCTAAACCTGCATCTCTACATAAAATTTAGCACATGTAAATCTTACGCAAATCAGCCCCTCTTTTGTACCCGATATATTTCTTCCTTTATTGGCCACCCTGATTTCATAAGGTGCTATGCACATTTAAAAAACAAACAAACCACAAAAACCAAAACTTGGCCTTTCACTTCATTGGTCAAATACTTACGGTTCTGGCGTGTACATTGGCCGCGATGAATGGCGGATGTATTGAGTAGAGTGAAACACCCTGAACGCCAAGCCAGCCAAGAAATCCCGGGAAGACAGCAGGCCAGCTACAGGACGCAGGCGGAATCCAGTGCAGCCTTTAAAGAACAGCGAAGCTCTGCATTACAAACTGGCTGGGTGGCCATCTGCCATGGATGCATTAGCTGAGATTCCTGCATTGCAGGGGGTTGGACTAGATGACCCTTGGGACTCCTTCCAACTCTACAATTCTTCGGTTCGATGGCTGAAATCACTTTGGCACTTGTACAAAATGCAGGAAGCTGCCTTTTACTGAGTCTTAGCATTGGTCCATCTAGCTCAGCAGCAGGGGAAGCCAATGTAGTGCCCTCCAAATGTTGCTGGACTACAACTCCCATCATCCCTGGGCATTGGTGGTGTTGGCTGAGGCTGACGGGAGTTGTAGTCCAATAACATCTGGAGGGGATCACATGGGCTACCTCTGGTCTACACCAATTGGCAAGGGGTCTCCAGGATTTCAGACAGAGGTCTCTCCAAGGCCCTTCCTGGAGATGCTGAGGGTTGAATCTGGGACCTTTTGAGTGCAAACCACATGCTCTACCACTGAGCTAAAGCCCTTCTCATTTATGGATCATTTATGCAATAAAATCCTATGCATGGTTACACAGAAGTTAAGTCTCACTGAATTTTCAGAACTGTGGGAATCGTTGGGTTTAATGTGGATAGGATTGCAGCCTTAGTACATTCAAATACAGTGGTACCTTGGGTTACATACGCTTCAGGTTACATACCCTTCAGGTTACAGACTCCACTAACCCAGAAATATTACCTCGGGTTAAGAACTTTGTTTCAGGATGAGAACAGAAATCGTGCAGCGGCGGCACAGCGGCAGCAGGAGGCTCCATTAGCTAAAGTGGTGCTTCAGGTTAAGAACAGTTTCAGACCTCCAGAACGAATTAAGTTCTTAACCCGAGGTACCACTGTATTAGGATCACAGTTATAGCAATTGTGTTGACGATGTCGGATATTGGATCTTCACACCTTTACTTACTTTTCAAGAAGTTTGAGACATCTTCCAGCTGTGGGATGTTGTCTTCTTCATAGCCACAGTATTTCTCCAGGAGAGGGAAGACATGATTGTGTTCATAACAAGCGTGGGTGGGATACAGGGTCTTCAGCTCCCTGAAGACTGTTCCCCATGTTCTCTTCTCTTCCTCGGTGTATGTCACTCTGGGGATTGGCTGCCCACTAGAAAAAAAAGAGGAAAAGGCAGTTAGCTTAAAGCTACTGCATGAATGCACCCCATTCCTATTAATACCAGCACCAAATAAGGTGCCTTTAATCACTGTATAGAAGAGGGGGTTGCAGGTATGGCCTCCAAGGCCCTCAAGGAAACATATCTGACTCCCTTGGATCATCACAACAACTTGGTGAGGCAGGTGCCAGTGTGCTCACTGGTACTTCCTGTAGGTCTCAGCAAATATACATTTCATGATATGCCATGCCCCCACAGCAGCCATTTTGTGTTTAGCCACATCCCAGCGGCAGCCATTTTGTGCATGGCACCCCCAACGCTTTCTCAGAATTCCAAATGTGACTCGAAAAGATGGGCCACCTCAGCCATGAGGTAACTCTTTCTTGTAGAAAACAGCACCGACCTTATGCACAAATAAACAAGCAAGCATAGCTTGGAGTCAAGGAATAGTGAGGCAAGGTGACACACAGGGGCAGCAGAGCAGACCTCCAAGAAATACATGCTACGGCATGCTCCTTTCAGGTAAGTTCTGCCGCCTCCTTAGCGCCTCCATCCGAATGCCACCTTGATGGCAGCCTCTCAGGGAAGAAGGGGTGCTGCTAGTGTCCTTCTACCCCAATGAAGGAAATGGCAATGGCTGTGGTCTCCTCAGGACTGCACCCACCTGGTGTGATTCAGAGTAGTCCCCTTTCCCTTCACAATGGAGGCATTGTGGGAAATTCTAATGGCAGCTGGATTTGGCTACCTGTTGCTGCCTGGAGTTGCCAGGCTGGGAAAATACATTTATATGGGGGGGGCAGGGTGGACCCTAAAAGGCTGCTGGGCCCCTGGCATGCATTCTGGGTGCTGATGCTAACCGTGCCCCCCCAAACAATAACAGTATCCCTCAAAAGGCAGCTTGTTACCAGCAGTGGCGTAGCGTGGGGGGGTGCAGGGGGGCCGGCCGCACTGGGCGCAACATCTGGGGGGGGCGCGCTCGCACTCGCAGCGCTAAAATCCACGGGTTAGGGGGCGCAAATTACTTGCCTTGCCCCGGGTGCTGACAACCCACGCTACGCCACTGGTTGCCAGCAAAGAAAGTGGGGACTTGTGTGTACAACACAGACATGGACACAGCCAACTTCAAGAGGCCGAGATCCCTCCAAGGCCCCCAAGAACAGATGTGAGACGGCTGCCCTCCCCTGAAAAGCTGGTGGTCATTAAATGGTGTGTGTGCACCATGTCTTGTGACTGAATATGTGGGATGGGGTTTAGCTGCCCCCCATATTTTGGCACGCCTGAGCATTGACCCTTCTTACCAAGCACATTCAGCTCCGAAAACCACAGCGACATGCACCCCCATCTCCCGCCTCATTTTCCATTCTACAGGCAGAAAGACTGGGCCTTTTGTCCTGTTCTCACTCCACACAGCTCTCGTAATCTGGATAAGCGCTGATCTGATATATAAGCCATGCTATAGCCGCAGAGGACTGGCCATAGGATCAAGGGGCTGTCTTAGCTCTCCCCTCAGATCTCCCCTGGCCCTAAAACTCTGCGGCCCTCAGAGTCAGCTGAGGTAATGGCTCAGCAGGAACAGCAATTCTGTCTCTGCCCTCCATACAGTTAGTGCGCTGTCAGTCTGGCTCTGCCTCGAACGAGAAGGGAGTCCTTTGACCTGCTTCACTTTATTGCCTTGACATTAAAGCGGAGGGAGGCTGATTCTTCAGAAAATAATTTCAAAAATGGACAGGCGGCCCTCCCCAAATCAAAGAGTCTTTTCCAGCAATTTAATAGGGTTTGAGGCGCTGCTGGGATAATGCGAGGGATTTCTGGAGCTCCAGGCTCTTTGTCGAAATACAAGCGATACCCCACCATTCCCTGCCCCCTTCGTTTTAGCCGGAGCCTGATGGCAGCTCCCCAATAATTGTGCAATTTTCTGTGTCTCTGCACCAGTCCTCCTTGATCTCTGGAGCTTTAAACGTGATTTTGAATTAGAGGGAGGGGGAACCGGGACCACTGTGGTTTCTATAGCATTGACCTTTTCTAATTAATCCTTAGGCCACCTTCATGGGCCCAGAGAAAAGAGCAGAGGCTTAAGGCACCGCCAGACACCAATTTGAAAGCTGCCAAGATCAATAGACTAGTGCTCAGGGTGGCAGGTGAGGTGGGGAAGGGGAAGGGGAGGGAAACTGGGATGCAAGAGGGGAGGAGATAAGCAAGAATGCCTGAGGGTGGTGGGAAAAAATGGGGCTCGCAGAGCGCCATCCTAAATTGTCCATCCTTTTCTGTGTGGGCCTTGGGAATGCTACCATTTCACTTTCACAACTTCTATAATATCTTGCTTTAATCTATCTTATCCATCTATCATCTATCTATCTAGAGATATCTATGCTGCTTTTTACCAGAAATGGTCACTGGGGCACTTCCCAGCAAAATAAGGCAGTATAAAACATAGTAACATAATAAACAAGCACACTATGAATGATTCTCATAATATACATTCCTTGGTTATGCAGAGATAATTTTTTTAAAGGAGGGGGAAAGCAGGGTAGGGTTGAATGGGAGAAATCACTTCTATCCATGTTAACATTGCTACCTGAGCCTCTTTTAAGGCTCAACAGGAAATCATGGTGTGCCGGCTGAGGCTCATGGCAGCTATAGTCACATCCAGGATATACATTTAAAGCACACTGAAAACACATGACTTCCCCTAAAGAATCCAGGGAACCATAGCTTACCCCTTCACAAAGTACTCAGCTCAGTCAGTAGAACATGAGACTCTTAATTTCAAGGTCGTGGGTTCGAGCCCCACGTTGGGCAAAAAGATTCCTGCATTGCAGGCAGTCAGACTAGACGACCCTTGTGGTCCCTTCCAACTCCAGAATTCTATAGTTCTACAGATCCCAGAATTCTTTGAGGGCGGCCATCTGCTTTAAATGTATGCTGTGCGTGTGGCCTTAGTCCAAACCACCTGGGGGGCATTCAGTTGGTGAAGACAGGTCTAGATGTATCCCACTCTAGAGTTTTCAAGGTCCATTTGCATTGCCCTTTACAATGGTCAGAGGAGTTAGGTATTGGCGAGGAACTCACATCCATCCGTCACTCTCAAGGGGCTTGGAATCAGCAACAGACTCACACAGGTAGGTCATTGGGCCCTGGCATTTACCTGCCTTGGCCGACTTCTTCGGTGTGATACTGGAGTCCTGCTCTTGGGAGCAGCCAAGTGATGGGGCAGATCCAGTGTGCCTGCTGGCTTCCACCTCTGATGAGAAAGATGGCTGGCGGCCATCTTTACGAAGAGAATCCTACCCTAAGGAAACCTGCAAACCAGGACAGGAGTGCCTATGGCTCTCAAGAACAGCAGAGACGGGTAAAGGGGCAATGGAAGGGATGTTGGATGCAGGACAGAGGTTGGCAAGGACCCCTTAGAGAGGTGCTGCGTAAAATCAGTTCTAGATGAATATTGCCTCTTCAGCCCCCCACCCCCCATGCAAAACAGTGGAGGGGAAGCAAGCCATTAAAAAATTCACAATGCAGCTGGGCCAGGAATGACAGTCACAGAGGATGAGATCAAGACCATGAGTGATGAATTATTCCAATGCTGTTTACAGCTTCTGCTTTAATGTACATTGTGTGCATTCCCCATCTCTCCCCTGTTTAATGGCAGGAGCATAAGAGGCGCTGCCTCATTTGGCGCTTGGGGCTTTGTAGTTGCCTCTGATGCTGCGAGTGCCATTAAATAACAAAGCTTTGCGAGGCCAGAGCTTGGTCCTCATCTGAATCCAATTGATTTCCGGTAAGCTGCAATTTTAGGATAAATGCAGTCAAAGGAGGATTTAAGCACAGAGAGGAAAGGAAAGCCAGCAAGGGAAAATAAACACTTTGGGGGAAAGAATTGGTTTGGTGAAAAGGTTCCTGGCCAATTTCATCTGGACTGTCAGACAGTTCAGATTTGGTGCTGTGACTGAGCCCTGAGTCCACATGGCAGTGCTCCGATTTCCCCATCTCGCTTTTAATTTAGCAGCAAACCATTCCCCCTAGAACATTGCAGGTTTGATCCCTGTATGGGGCAGGTGCATATTCCTGTATTGCAGGGGGTTGGACTAGATGATCCTCAAGGTCCCTTCCAACTCTGCCATTCTATGATTCTGTGTGTTCAAGTAGGTTGTATTCAACCTCTTGTATATGCTACCCATGGAAAATAAGTTGCCTTTCTACTCAAAGACAGCCAGCGAGTGATGGTACAGGTTAAACAGAGTCATTTATCCATCGTGATCCTTCTTTGGATAGTTCACAAAGTACACTAAAGTTAGCATATAGTTATGAAACACACTTGAACAGTAGTGCGAATCTCTGCCTGTGCACCCACCGAACAGATGGCTAACTACGCTTATTTGTTGTTCATTTGGAAGTGAGTTGGGAAATGTTTAAAATACAGTAGTACCTTGGGTTACATATGCTTCAGGTTACAAACGCTTCAGGTTACAGACTCTGCTAACCCAGAAATAGTACCTCGGATTAAGAACTTTGCTTCAGGTTGAGAACAGAAATCGTGCTCTGGCGGCGCGGTGGCAGTGGGAGGCCCCATTAGCTAAAGTGGTGCTTCAGGTTAAGAACAGTTTCAGGTTAAGAACGGACCTCCGGAACTAATTAAGTTCTTAACCTGAGGTACCACTGTATATATATATGAGGGGAGGAGGGAGGGAACATGCATGAACACAGGGCTCATCTATGTAGCATCAAGCCACACTTTGGTGTTCACAGAATCAAAGAAATGTAGAAATGTTGGAAGGGAGCCCAATGGTCATCTAGTCTGACCCCCTGCAATGCAGGAATCCCAACTAAAGCATCCATGATAGATGGCCACCCAACCTTTGCTGAGGGAGTCCATTCCACTGTCAAACAACTCTTACTGTCAGAATGTTCTTGCTGACATTTATTTGGGATCTTCTTTCTTGCAACTTGAAGCCATTGGTTTGGGCCCTACCCTCCAGAGCAGGAGGAAACAAGCCTGCCCCCATCCTCAAAGAGCCAGTGTGGTGTAGTGGTTAAGAGCGGTAGTCTCGTAATCTGGGGAACCGGGTTCGCGTCTCTGCTCCTCCACATGCAACTGCTGGGTGACCTTGGGCCAGTCACACTTCTTTGAAGTCTCTCAGCCCCACTCACCTCACAGAGTGTTTGTTGTGGGGGAGGAAGGGAAAGGAGAATGTTAGCCGCTTTGAGACTCCTTAAAGGGAGTGAAAGGCGGGATATCAAATCCAAACTCTTCTTCTTCTTCTTCTCCATGTGACAGCCCTTTAGATATTTTAAGATGGCTACCATATCTCCTCTCAGTCTCCTCTTCTCCAGGCTAAACATACCAGGTTTGGAGTAACCTACTCTCTACACAGCCATTTCCTCTTCATCTTCTTCCCCTTCCTTCCTGGTCCTCAGCCTTTAAGCTTACCTTGAGGACAGGGTCAGATGCCTGTTCCCCCTCATTCGCACCCAAGCCCCAGTATAACTTTTGTAATCGTCCCATGAGAATTGGAGAAGAACCAGCAAGGACTATGCAACACTCACATTCACCATTTCTAGCTGAGTCAGAAGGGCTTTCTTCTACATATGCCCAGATCCTACAAGATATCTGCAAAGGGACTGCTGCATTGTCAGGAAGGAGACCCATTGACAGCACTGGTTAAGTAGAGGCAATCCAGCATCACGATGCCATGTATATTTAAATCCTCAGTGCCCCAGACATATTTCAGCATTATCCAAAGAATGAGCACACTCCCCAACCCCACACACCATTTCATCACAGATAATATATTGACTTTTAGGATACATTTTGTCCCTTGTTGTCTTTTGCACACTTACTGTCTGTAGTTGTAAGCTATATCTGCAAATTCCTTTCTTCTGGCCCGATAAACAGGATCTTTGAAACCCTGATGGGGGGGGAGAGAATAATAAAAAGCACTGGTTTGTGAGTGTCGAAACAGAAATACAGTTTTAACAAGAAGTGCAGAAGCAACAAAATGCGTCTTGTATGAATAAAAGCATAACTTTTTGTGGACTAGAATCTATTTCATCAAATGTGTGAAGATTATCCTAAACTGACAGGTCCACATGGAGTGAGGGAGAAAGGAAGAAATGTTGGCAATGAGGTTGGAGGGAAATAATATGCAAGAAATATAAATGGTGCCCATTGTGCTAAACCATAAATGTATGTAGAATAATGGCAGTGATACTTCACAAGGTTTTGTTGACTGTAACACAGCCTATAGCATTGGGGAAGTTACAGGTGGCCAGTGAGGAAGAGGAAGAGGAAGAGCTTTGGCCCACAAGCCTGAGGGTTTTCTGCACTGCAGTCACCGAAGATAATGTGATGTTTCCAGATTCGCTTGCTTCTTCACATCCTAAATTACCTAATTGCAGCTTGGTTCCCCGCCCCCCAAAAAATCCAGAAGGAAAGTCTCATTATCTAATTAATACTAGCTCATGCATGCAGGATACAGCTTTCATGTCAGTGCACTGAGGTTTTGTTTGGCTGATGATTTTGTCCTGCTTTCAACTACTGCGCCATTTTTTCATCCTGACAGAAGCTCTGAGAGGACTCTTTGATTCAATCATTCAGAGCAATTGAGTCTCCATTCACCCTGCTTTTCTTCTAGGACTCTGCCAAATATTTGCGTGCCAAGTGACTGTACAGAATACATAGCTCATTTCAGATTAAACTACATCTAGTGAAAGACAAATCACACTGCCCCAATTAATGTAATAGCTGCAATTTTATTTTATATTAAAAAAATTGCTGCACTGTGTGTAATTTATTTGCAAGTATCCTGCATTCATTGAATTAATAGCAGTAAATCCTGGCTGCTGCGCTTCGTCTCCCGACATCAGATTATTAGCCTGAAAGGATAAGGCAAGTTGTTTACTTGCTTTGGGGTTGTGTGTTTCATTCATTAAAAAAAAAATTACCTGCCAGAGAGCCGCATCCATAGGCTTAGAATAAATTATAGCCTTTGGAGTGGCTCCACGTTTTTGTTTTATAAACTACTAATTTGGGACCGCACCATTTCAGACTACGGGGGGGGGGGTAAGGGCATGTATTTTTATGGCTCCCACACATTACCCACACATTACAAAACCCTGAATAATTTCCTATAATGCATCATGGGTTCATTCTGAAAATATTTGTCCCAAGTTTTTAGGAACATAGGAAGTTGCCTTATACCAAATCATACCATTGGTGCATCTAATTCACTGTTGTCTGCACTGGCTGGTAGAAGCTCTATGGGGTTTTTGAATAGAGCTGTAATCATCATCAACAACAAAACCCCAACAGTATCCAAGAAAAAAAGATCCAGAATCCATAGTAGGGCATTACCCTACTATTAGGCCAAGAAAAAACGTCACAAAACAGTGAAGGAGCTTTCAAGTTCTTCAGAATTCTCCATTAGGCTGAATGCTAAGCAAAGGCAGGAAGGTGGAGAAAAGGGTACCTTGATTTTAAAGCCTTAAAGGTCTCAGTCTGGAGCACACCAATTATGTTTTCAAGTTGTTCTCTGTGCTCATGAGGACTAGAAATATCATTTTTTTAAAAGTATGTAAACAGAAAGACTTTTTTATTTTGCCTTACGGGGTGGTCGGCATCCAGTTCTGCTCCGTAGCTGAGAATTTGATTGGCAAATCTATCCAGTTCTTTAATCGTTCTCGGGAACCATGGAACTAGACAGCGGGAAAGAAAACATGAATAGTCTTCAGCTTCTTGTTGCTGGCTCCCTTCAGTGACTTTCTGTCACTGAGCTACGGTCTTCGCCAAATATAAATCAGCAAAGTGTTAGCCCTTATTTAATGTTAATGCTAGGAAATAATAATGCTCGCATTCAAAGCATTGACAATACTGAGTCTTATGGCATTTAAGAACTAGCATATTTCCTGATGGCACAAGGAATTAGTTAGTGTTTACGGAATCACAAGGCTACTTTTTTTGTTTTTGATGTAACAGTCTAACTTACAGCTGTGCTGTGACTGATACATGCAGCCAAAAATATATGGAGGGCACCAGGTTGACGAAAGCTGCCTAGGATGACATTTTGGCGTCTACATGGCATATAAGAAAAGCTTTGTGCACTGAATTTCCGCCTCTTACATAGCCTCTGTCTATTAAAATATGACAGCTCATACAGCAATAAACCAAGGATATTGAAATGTGTTCCCCCTAAAAGCTAAGAAATATTATGAATTGTACCACTAGAGGGCAGCAGAAGCAAAATATTGCTGCCTCAGTCACACACACTTTCTCTTACTTAAGAGTTCTGTTTACTTTAGGGAGTTGTAGGTATCTCTTAAAGACCTTTGACAATAAGCTTGTCCGCACACTACAAGAAACACAGGCGCAAGCTGGCTTTACACGTTGTTGGTTTGGCATACACAGGCACACAGATTATACACCCCATAAATGCAACGGGTGGATACCTCTAACATAATAAGCACAAGCAACTCAGATTTCCACCTGTGCAAGGAGATTTATGGGAAATTTAAAAAGAGCAAACTTTCTCTCCTGCTGTTAATAACAGCATTGCGGAGGAGTGTGACTGTGTTGCTAACCAGCCGGCCAATATGCGCTGCTCAGAGGTACATCCCACGGTATGGTCTGAAAGCCCGAGACAGACAGCTGATAGACAGGTCTGGGTCTGGGCAGTGACTGGATGGGAGGCCATCTGTGAACCCCACAGAACACATTTCAGTGACGGAAGGAAGCTGGGAGACTAAGGTTTGAAATACCGGTAAATAGGTGCCTTGTGTGGAAGCCACTTTTAGCCACATTGCGCACATTCTAGCACATGGAGGCTGAATGCGAAGAGGGATCCCCACAGTTTCAGGGACTACATTCCTAGAACCACAGAATTGTAGACCCTGAGGGTCATCTCTAGTCCAACCCCCTGCAATGCAGAGATATGCAGCTGCCAAATACAGGGATCGAACCTGCAACCTTGGTATCATCAGCACCATGCTCTAACCAACTGAGCTATCTACTTCGAAAGAATGAACTTCTGGGGCTCTTTTATGTGCTTCTGTCAGTGCTGAGGCATATAACCGTTGGTTTGTCCTGCCCAGAAGTGTCTGACAGACAGCAGACTCTCCAAGAGAGTCTGCGAACGGGCTCTTGATAAAGCAGAGATGCTAAGGACTGGATCTGCTCGAGACATTCTGCATGCAATGCATGTGCTCTGCCCTTGAGCTAGGAGACCTCTCTTTATTGGATGTAGTAATACTGCAGTCACAGTAAGGTAAAAGGAAAAGGACCCCTGGATAGTTAAATCCAGTCAAAGGTGACTATGGGGTTGCAGCACTCATCTCGCTTTCAGGCTGAGGGAGCTGGAGTTTGTCCGCAGACAGCTTTCCAGATCATGTGGCCAGCATGACTAAACGACTTCTGGTGCAACGGGACACCGTGACGGAAGCCAGCATGCACAGAAACGCCGTTTACCTTCCCGCCGCAGTGATACCTATATATCTACTTGCACTGGTGTGCTTTCGAACTGCTAGGTTGGCAGAAGCTGGGACAGAGCAACAGGAACTCACCCTGCCACGGGGATTCGAACCGCCGACCTTCTGATCGGCAAGCCCAAGAGGCTCAGTGGATGGCCATTGATTTTGTCCAACAATGTCTTAAGGGCTACAGGGTCTTCATCCCTGGTCTGCTTAAAATTAAGTGGGGGCTTACAGTCAGGTAAGAAGGTACAGGATTGCAAACTAAGGCTGTGCTTGAAAAGGCTTCCCTATTCTCGTGTCCTCCAGATGTTGCTGGACTGCAGTTCCCATTAGCCCCAGTCAGCATGACCAAAGGGATGATGGGAGTTGGAGTCCAACCACATCTGGAGGGCACTAGGTTCCCCACCCTAGGACTAGATGGGACTTTGAGCAAATAAATTGTTACGAGGGCTAATTTGGGCACAGCTGCCCAGCTTATGCTGGAACCATTGGCCACAAAGAGCAAACAACAACAGCATTCCAAGAGATCCTTTTTAAAAATAGAAAATCACATTATCCGCTTGCTGAGATGTTATTTGGCCCATTCGATGGGCTCTCTCCTCCAGCCCCAGTTAGCCAGACATGTTGTCTCTTCCTGCTGCCATTAATGAATGGCCAGAGCAAGCTGTTGCAACACTGACCCTCTGTGAAGCTCTGCAGAGCAAATGCAGGCTGATCAGTAATAAATATTGATTTGTCTGCAGGAGAAACAGCAGAGTTTTATGGTGAACACCCAAGTAGTGACCAATTTAACATGGGGTCAGATGCTTAATAGGATGCTAATCAGCTATTTATATGAGGGGGCAACAAAACCGGAGGGCTTCAGAGGTTCTGGGGAACTCTGTCCGTTCTGGGGAGGGGTCAGAGACAGGGCTTTAAAATTTATTGTCGGTCCTAGGCCCAGGTTGGAGCCTTTTAAAACATAGCCAACTGCTCAGCTCAGCCCCAGGGTCCTGACAAACAAGGCTTCTACAGACTCTAAGCCTCTAGCTTGTCTCCGGACAGCAAAGCATTGTCTTTACCTCCCAACTCCCACTGAAACAGAATCATATTTAATTCTTTTACTCAAGGCTACTAGGGGGGTCTGAACTTTTTGCCCATATTAAAAAGGCTTGTGAGCAAATGGCACCGTGCCTTAGTTGGCCGATAACAAATCTTGAGTACAGCTCATGGCTAGTCTGGAGAAAGCTTTTCTCTCTAGATTGGAGGAGCTCAGTTTTTAAAATGGCACACAGATTGGAGACAGGGGTGACGTTCTGTTTGAAAGCTGCTGTTCAAAGCACCTTTCTCTGCATTGCTTTATGGGAAGGTTGGCTGCTTATGATAACTTTGCAATCTACAAGATGGCTGTGTAAATCAGCTTTCTGTAAACCCCAATCCTAACTGCGTCGACTTGAAACTAAGACCCAACAGCTTCAATGGGTCTTATGTTTAAGGGAGCATGCCATAAGATGCTATAAATGACAGAGAAGTAGAACCCTCTTCTCTCTCTTTTTTGGTCCAAATTATAATTAAGAAAGATGAAGCAAGATAACCTCCCCTCCCCCCCGCAAACACACAGTCCCCCAAAGTAATTAAACCTGCACTTTTAAGTGACTGTGATTCCCTGCCAAGCCATAACATTTTGCCCCTTTCCTGAATGGAGGGCTCCAAATATTTTCCTTTTTCTCAATGCAATGTCATGGACAGGACACAAAGGGAAGGGTAAGGAGATTATAAGGATTTATTCCAGGAAGATATTACTACCCTTTCATGTTGCTCCCAGGAAGGAAGACGAGGCAGCAGACCTAAAGCATTTTAAGCCAACCTTAACTGAAATCCTATTAAGATCACATCTGCTGCTTGAGAAGCCAGGAGGGCATTAAGATTTGGATACGTGTACATGTGTATGAGACATAGAGAAGGGTCTGCATGTGGACACTCATGGAATACTGCACTGCTCAAAGAAAAGCTACCTCCAGGTGATTGTCTTACTCATGTGTGCCTATTTATTTCTATATAATGAATAAGGAATCCATAAGTGACAAATTCTGCATGCAAACAGGTGGCGTGATGGGACTCATGCTCTGATTGTGGGCTTCTCTGAGTGCCTACTCTTGGGAACAGGAATTTTGCCTACATGGACCTCTGGTCTGATTTGGGCCCTTAGGTTATGTCTTTGTGAATATGGCACATATCTGAACCATTTGGCACAGTGATTGTGGGGAAATATTTGCCACTGACTAGGTATGGATGAATCAGCTTGTTCCTGACCCGTGCAAACTTCACAGGTTCATTTCATAAATCTGTTCTGATCTGTTTTCCCACAATTAAGCAATTCTTTTCAACCAGCCACATTAAGAACATACCTAAGTACATCATTAAATATGTGGTTTGTTACAATATACATATTTAAATCACATAGTTATAACTCAATGTACAAACATATTTTATATCCAGATTTAATACCTTTAGGGAGGAATACAATGCCACACTAAGTTAAAGACCCTTGGCAATGTGCTAGCTGCAAAAGGACTTGCTCTTGCAGAACGGCAGGAGGCTAACATGCTTCTTGTTGCTGGTGGCCCAACCGATTGCTGTAGCCCCAATACTTTCTGTTGTGCAATAACTGGTTGCGCAACTGCTGGCACAACCGATGTGTTGGGTTTCATATTGCACAACTAGTATTCTTTCCCTTATGCAAGTTCAACAGCCCTTGCATTGATGGTAAAAGGGAGCTGAATCCAAACCTTGAGTATTATCATTATTATTAGCCAATAACTGTATCACAAAGATGTAGAAATGTGCAAAGGATAATTATGTTCTAATCAACAAATTAATCCAGGAGGTATGGATCACATTAGTCTACACAGTCTACAGTCTACACTGGAATTCCCTCCTACCATCTGGGTCAAAGGAGATATAGCTGCTCCAGCTACATCTAAACCAGGGACGAGGAACCTACATTACTACCCAGGTTGTTAGAGTACAACTCCCATCAACCCGAACTATTGTCCATGCTGCCTGGGGCTGAGAAGTGTCGTAGTCCAAAAACATCTAATGCATCACAGATGTTCCCTATCCCTGCTGTATGCTATCTAACAATCCCACAATATCTGGTCGCTTACACATTTAGCTTTCCCATACCAAAGACATGCACGCCAGCCAAATTTTATATCATGGCCTTCCAAATCTAAAATATCTGCATTTTCCAATATGATCCATTCCCTTAACCAACACAGATATGCTGCCTCATAATAAAATTGTAGGTCTGGCAGGGCAAAGCCTCCTCTTTCTTTTACATCTATCAAGATTTCATGTTTAATTCGTGGCTTTCCCCCCTGCCAGATAAATTTAGAGATATCTTTTTTCCATTCTTTGAGGCAACTTAACTTATTTGCACTCGGGATCAATTGGAATAAAAACAGCATCTTAGGCAGTACATTCATTTTAATGGCTGAGATTCTGCCTAACAGTGAAAGCTGCATCCTTCCCTAAATCTCCAATTCTTTCTTAATCTCTTTCCATAGTTTAATATGATTATCTTGAAATAAATTGAGATTCCTCACCATCAGCCAAATCCCCAAATATTTTACTTTTTTACCTATTTTTAGGCCAGGCATTTTTTCTAACGCCTTTTTCGAGTGCTAATCCATGTTTTTAACCAACATTTTGGTTTTATCTGTATTTATTTTGAAACCTGTCACTTCTCCAAACCTTTTCATTTCTTCTAAGGCTTTGGGATCACTTACCATAGGTTGTTCCAGGGTTAACACTACATCAGCAGCAAATGCCCTTAATTTGTAGACTCTACACCCCTCCTCAATACCTTTAATTTCCTTCCCTATTTCTCCTTATATGCTGAAGCAATATTTCTAACATCAAAATGAACAACAATGGAGATAAGGGGCAGCCTTGTCTATTACCTTTTCTTACTTGGCATTTGTCAGAGAGAATATTGTTTATTAGTATATTTGCAGATTGATCAGTATAAATTGCCTTAATTCCTGCTTAGAAAGAATTACCTATCTCCAACTTCTCTAACAACTTGATCATAAATGACCAAGAGATATTATCCAAAGCTTTCTCAGCATCTAAGAAAATTATAGCTGCTTGTTTTTCATTTCTTACTTCCAGGTACTCGATTAAATTAATTATATTTCTTATGCTGTCTTTCATTTGTCAACCTGGTAGAAAACCTGCTTGGTCCCTATGGACTCACTTAAAACCTTTTTCAACCTGTTGGCTAAAACTGCAGCAAATAATTTATAGTCACAGTTAAGTAGTGAAATTGGTCTGTAATTTTTAGTCTTTGTTAAATCACAGTTTTGTTTAGGAATCAGGGTAATAAATGTGTCTTTCCAGGAAGCCGGAACCACTCCAGTCACTATAGTTCTAGTCATAGTGTCTTTAAGTGGTTCAATCAAAGCCTTCAGATGTCTTCTAAAGGTTATATAGTTACTCATCTCCTTGACATCTGATGGGAGGGTGTTCCACAGGGTGGGGGCTACCACTGAGAAGGCCCTCTGCCTGGTTCCTTGTAGCTTCACTTCTCACAGTGAGGCAACTGCCAGAAGGCCTTGGAGTTGGACCTCAGTGTCCAGGTTGAATAATAATAATAATAATAATAATAATAATAATAATAATAATAATAATAATTTTACTTATATCCTGCCCTCCCCGGCCAAATGGGGGCGGAGATGCTCTTTCAGGTATACAGTAGGGCTGGCAGTTAACCTCTTTGCTGTAGGGAAGGAGTGTTGTTATTCTGAACAATATCTTCTTACCAGCATCCTTCCTCTTTTCACGTGAAAGCTCGTGGACATTTGCTCCAATGTCGTCTCTCAGTGTATGAATGATTCCCTCAAGAGCTGGGATGTTCTTGCCTTCCAGATTGATGAAAAATTCGTACTCATCTTTGTTCAGCCGGGAAGGTCTGGATTCAATGTGGATCAGGTTTATACCCTTCTCCTGGAACAAAGACGGTAACATAATGAAAAATGAAGCACAATTTTGACTGACGGCCTAGAAAGTGGCTGGGATCACTGGGTAGTTCACAGCACAATTAAAAAAAAGAAAGAAATCACACTATGTTTACGAAGACTGAGCAGGCACACAAGTCCCCTGGTGTCTTCCCCACTATGGCAATATGCATCATATTTTCTAAATTTGAATCCTATTTTCATCAAGGGAAGTAATAGTACCACTCTATTCTGCCTTGGTCAGATACCACACCTGGAATACCCTGTCCAATTCTAGGCACTGCAATTTAAGAAGGTTGTTGACAAGCTGGAACGTGTGCAGAGGAGGGCAACTAAGATGATCAAAGGTTTGGAACCTAAGCCTTATGAGGAATGGTTGAAGGAGTTGGGTATGCTTAGCCTGAATAAGAAGAGGAGACTGAGCGGAGATATGATAGTCATCTTTAAATATCTTAAGGGCTGTCACATGGAGGAGGGAGCATGCTTGTTTTCTCCTGCTCTGGAGGGTAGGACTCGAACCAATGGCTTCAAGTTGCAAGAAAGGAGATTCCGACTAAACATTTAGGAAAGCTTTCTGACAGTAAGAGCTGTTCAACAGTGGAACAGCCTCCCACGAGAGGTGGTGGACTTTCCTTCCTTGGAAGTTTTAAAACAGTGGTTGGATGGCCATTTGTCATGGATGCTTTAGCTGATATTCCTGCACTGCAGGGGGTTGGACTAGATGACCCTTGGGTCCCTTCCTACTCTAAGATTCGAAACGATGGACTGGGTATGGATAGGAAATCCTTATTTTCATTTTCAGAAATGTTGGAGGATACATTTGCCTAAATTACCATATGCAACTTTTATGCCCATTCTCTCCTTGTTGTGATGCAAATCCTCTTTTTCAGTAATGCCTAGCTGGCCACCTGAGCGACTTCTTCTTTCTATCAAGTGACTATTGTAAGCAATTAAATGGACCGGTATCCTCACCGCATGCCAGAAGCACAAATTCTTTTCTTTCTTTCTTTGTTAAAAAAAAAAAAAGAGGACTGCTTGGTCTGTGTTGAAAACACTGCTATGGTCATTATAGAAAACAGTCACCTCCAAGAATAGCCATGATAAATGCTGGTTTTTTGGGTACTTTAACCTTAAATAGATTCAAGAGCAGACCTTTGTGCATTACTGACACAGACCTCTGAAGTGGCTCCCCACCATCGCTTGCCGTGAGCACTGCTGTATGTGCCTTTCTCTGAGTTCTTAGCAGTGGACACTACAGATGAACTTAAATTGTTTGACCAGATACCAACACAAAAGTTGAAAAGGTCAGAAGTGCATTCAAATCCTGCAGCTCAGGAAAGATGTTCTCCTAATTGAGCTGGTCTCCATGCAAATAATGCATTTAACTGGGCTGCTCCCCGAGGTCAAGTTGTTTTAGTTCTCTAAAGGTCTGCATCACACACAGACAATGCTTTGTGTTTGCTATTTAATTAGGTGCTCGCAAATCATTAGAGGGCTCCAGCAATAGGAAAAAGTTAAAATTACTCCCAGCAAGATTTATTATGATTGAGACCAGGCTCAAAAAGTCACAGCCTGATCTCAGCAAGGAACCTTCCTTGGATCATCTTTGAGATTAAGGCTTTATATCGGAGGTGTATTTGTCTTTACTGCAAAGGAGCTATGGAGCATCGCACTCGGTTGTATCGCATCTTAAGAGCCGCAGCCAGAAATGTTACAGCATCTCCACCACTTAGGGTCCGGTGCCAGGGTAAAGCTGCAGCACCCACCACCAAGGAGGCCAAAGCAGAGGGCAGAATGGAACTCTTTTTGACCCTTCTTATGTGAGAGTCCCCGGATTCGCTGCAGGAGCAGAATGAATGACTGCAGGGCGCCAGAAAGGGGCAGATGGCTGAAGCTGTGGAAATAGAGAGATTAAAGGAGCGCCTATTGCTGTTCTAAAAGCCACAAGGCCACACAAGGAGGAGGTTGCAAAGGATGCTGAAAGTTGTCAGGAGAACACTCTTCCCCTTCCCATAGCTACAATTCCCAGATTTCCCTGCGATGAGGGACAGGATGTCAAACCACTCTGAAAATTGCACCACCAGAGTCCTCTAACAACTCTTAGGAAACTACAACTCCCAGAATTCGTTGCAGGAAGCTATGACTTTTCAAAGTGGTATCATGGTCATTTAAATGTAGGGCATAAATGTGGCCGTAGTCACAACTAATTTGCTGGTCTGTATCCATTATGTGTTTCTTTGGGCTCATCCAGATTTTCTTTTGAGCTGTGTTTCTAGGTACAGGGTCCTAGAAAGTGTCTGAGCATGGGCGGGTATTTTTTTGCCCTGGCACTTTCCCTGCAGAAACCCGGTCTTTGTCAATGAAACAGAGCAAAAAGCAATTCGTGGACAAGTCGGATTTGTTTGTTCCAATTCAGCATTAAAGAGTGGGTTTTCGAAGGGAAAGTGCCAGGGCTAATAATAATAATAATAATAATAATAATAATAATATCACTAGAACCTGGAACTTTTAAAGCACAGTATTGTGCCTAGAAGGCATGGGGCAAAAGGTAAATGTGATGAGCCCTTTGAGGTTTGCTCGAAGATTCACTGGGCAATCCCATACTTCTTATGCAGATATAAACCCCATCAACTTCAGTGGCATTTACTCCAAGGTAAGTGTACTTACTCCAAGTTAAGCATGTACAGTATTGCAGTCTAAGGATGTAAAGCAGTACTCACTCATAAGTCCCACTGAACACACTGGAATTAATTCCAAGTAGACATGTACAGAAATGAGCTACAAAAATTGTTTTGGGGCTTCTCTAACAACATTTAGTAACATTCAATTAAATCCACAGGTTATTGGGTTGTTAAAATTCATGGTTATTCTGCGAGCCATCTTGAGATTTTATGATGAAGGGTAGCATATAAATTTAATAAACAAACAAATAAACGTGATCTCTCTGTTACTAGCAATTGGTTTAATTCAAAATATTTATAGCTGTTTAGAGCTAGGTAAGTTTTTGAAATCCTAATAGCGTTTCAGTACTCATACTCCACCTAGTGCCTAATGCTAAACTTGCAACTAATTGTATATAAATTCATTTCATTTATTTTATTTTTATAAAATAAAAGAGAGTGTTTTCCATTATAAAATACAGTGGTACCTTGGTTTACGAACAGTTCTGTTTATAAACATTCGGTTTACGAACTCTGCAAAACCGGAAGTAGTGTTCCAGTTGCGAACTTTACCTCGGTCTATGAACGGAAGCCGACTGGTGGAAGGGCACCAGCAGTGGGAGGCCTCATTAGGGGAAGTGCACCTTGGTTTAAGAACGGATTTGGTTTAAGAACGGACTTCAGGAACGGATTAAGTTTGTAAACCGAGGTACTACTGTAGTGCTTACACTGTTTACTCCAGGGTTCTTGGATGCATTATTCTGTAAACCGAGTAAAAGAAGCAGAAGAAGTTATACAGGCCTGTTGAACCACTGCACTATTTTTACCTTTAAAAAAAAAAAAAAAAGCCTAGCCTCTTCCAGGTGACCTATTTATTGAGCATTCACCCCAATTTGTTTGCACAACATTTTCAGGGTGGTTAGACAATGTCGACTATTTACAGAGAATTCATTCTCATGTCTTTATGGGGAAGAAAGAAGATTCCACCTAAACATTAGGAAGAACTTCCTGACAGTAAGAGCTGTTCGACAGTGGAATTTGCTGCCAGGGAGTGTGGTGGAGTCTCCTTCTTTGGAGGTCTTTAAGCAGAGGCTTGACAACCATATGTCAGGAGTGCTCTGATGGTGTTTCCTGCTTGGCAGGGGGTTGGACTCGATGGCCCTTGTGGTCTATTCCAACTCTATGATTCTATGATTCTATGATTCTAAGTTATACAATATTGCATCAAGCAATTGTTACCCCATACTTCCCAGTGCATTTCCCTAACTTTTTCTTTATTGCGGAAAATAAAGGTTCTGAGAGATCTGCATTGGTTCCCAGTACGTTTCCGAGCACAATTCAAAGTGTTGGTGCTGACCTTTAAAGCCCTAAACGGCCTTGGTCCTGTAAACCTGAAGGAGCATCTCCACCCCCATCGTTCAGCCTGGACACCGAGATCCAGCGCCGAGGGCCTTCTGGCGGTTCCCTCATTGCAAGAAGTGAGGCTACAGGGAACCAGACAGAGGGCCTTCTCGGTAGTGGCGCCCACCCTGTGGAACACCCTCCCTTCAGATGTGAAGGAAATAAGCAGCTATCTTATCTTTAAAAGACATCTGAAGGCAGCCCTGTTTAGGGAAGTTTTTAATATTTAACGCTGTACTGTTTTTAACACTTGATTGGGAGCCGCCCAGAGTGGCTGGGGAAACTCAGCCAGATGGGCGGGGTATAAATAAATTATTATTATTATTATTATTATTATTATTATTATTATTATTATTAAAAAATGATGGGGAGAAAGGAGCAAGTTGTGCAAGTGCTCCATTATCAGCTTTAACTGAACTTAAATTTGCTAGCATGTTATTGAATCCAGCTTGGAAATACAGAGTCTAGAAGCACCCTGAATCTATGTTCACCAGCTGAAGTAAACCAGACATGAAGTTGAGAATTGTCACCTCCCATATCCTGTACAACAATATGTCAATGAACAAAGCTTTTTCTTTTTCTTTTTTGCCCACATTATATTAGCACCAACATCTGTTTCCAGGATGCTCTGGAAAGTGGGTGAATTTCCTAAGTCAACAGTTTCTCTCATCTGGAATGACCCCGATTCCCAGCTAGTGAAATGGAAGGGGATGCGCTGTAAAACCCATCTGTAGCTCCTTTGCTATTAAAACGTCTCCTTTCACATCCATCATGGTAAACCTCTTCAATGTTTTTTCAAGGAATGGTAGCCAAGTGTTGTGCTGAGCAGAGCTGTCTCTGTGTTCTTAATGATGGTGTTATCAAGCACGTTGTTTGAACCTCTTGCCACCTTTTAAGAACATAGGAAGCTGCCTTATACTGAACCAGTCCACTGGTCCATGTAGCTTAGCACTGTCTGCACTGACTCCAGAGATTCAGGCAGGGCTCATTCCCAGCCCTACCTGGAGATGCCAGGAATTGTACCTGGGACCTTAGGCATGTACAGCAGATGTTCTGCCTCTGAGCTATGGCTCTTTCGCAATTATAAAACACTTTCATCTTCTACTGAAGACAACAAAAAGACTGCCCTCAAAACCATTTGTTCCTCCCCATTTACTTATAGCATCTGAGGCCCTACACAATTCCGTAACTGAATTTTTATCAATATCTACTCTACCCATCGGGACGCAGGTGGCTCTGTGGGTTAAACCACAGAGCCTAGGACTTGCCGATCAGAAGGTCAGCGGTTCGAATCCCTGCCACGGGGTGAGCTCCCGTTGCTCAGTCCCTGCTCCTGCCAACCTAGCAGTTCAAAAGCACGTCAAAGTGCAAGTAGATAAATAGGTACCGCTCCAGCGGGAAGGTAAACGGCGTTTCTGTGCGCTGCTCTGGTTCGCCAGAAGCGGCTTAGTCATGCTGGCAACATGACCCGGAAGCTGTACACTGGCTCCCTTGGCCAGTAAAGCAAGATGAGCGCCAACCCCAGAGTCGGTCACGACTGGACCAAATGGCCAGGGGTCCCTTTACCCTTTACCTTTACTCCACTCATCTGTTTCCATCCCTGATGAAAATGCATCACTTTTAACAATGAGTTTATTCCCGCATTCCCCTCATCAGAGTAATGGATGGGTTAATTTTTATCTGGGCTGAACAGATCTCCTGCAGCAAATGGCTATGCCAGTTGCATCAATATACAAACACCACTCCCCTCCGAAAATGATGTGACCATCCACTTGGTTGCCAAATGTGCAGACGTGACTCTTTGAAGGTAGCTAGGGTAGTTTCACTGACCAAAGTAAACATTGCTTTTTATAAGCACATCCAAAATACTGAGAAAGATAACTGTTCTGTTTGCTCAGCAGAAGGGAGAGGAGGCAGAGAAATCTTTGTTAAGAGTTACATACCTGACTTGACTCTATATGCACATTTTGCCCACTGCATATAGCAGGTGTGGGGAACCTTTGGTCCTCCAGATGTTGCTGAACTACAACTCCCATCATCCCTGACCATTGGTCAAGGTTGCTGGAGATAATGGGAGTTGTAGTTCAATTAACATCTGGAGGTTCCCCACACCTGCCAATGCAGTTTGGGCAATTGCTCATTGCCTAGCACTAAAGGAACCGGCAGAAATTCAATTTTTCAACTCAGAACCAGCTGCATTTTCTTTTTGGGATGCTTGATAGACAGATGAGTTCTGATTAAGACTGTGGGGGAACCAGTTCTGGAATTCTTACATGCACAAACTTTTACTTTGCTGGAAAGGGATTTATGGTTCTCATTCTTCTAGGTAATCATTATTTTTCCCCTGGGTTAATCAACAGAAGTGATCTTGGGATGTATAACTTTTTCTACTTGTATTTCCCCTCCATATTTCCCCTTCACTTGCTAGCTAATTTAATTTCCCCCCAGATACAAAACAAGTTGCCAGTAGTTTATTACACAACAGTTTCTCTGTTCAGAACTATTCCTCTCAAATGAGCTGCTTTTAAGAGGAGACTCAATGTTCTTTAAAGGAAACAAATGAAACCACAGAGGCTGGGCTTTTAACATGAGATGCTCTCCCCAGTGAGTCATGCCCGGCTCGCCAGCACTGGCATCTTTTTGGCATCAGGTTAATACTTTCCTCTTCTCTTAAGCATCAGATGAAATATGATCCAGCTGTGTCAAGGCTTTGTTAGTGCTCTCTCTGGGTTGCTGATAAGTCTTTTCCTCCTCGCCTGCCCCTGCGCAGGCTGGTTTTATGCTTTCATGCCTTACGTGTTCAATTTTGATAGTTATTTTTGTACGTTTTAAAACAATTTTCTATATTTTAAAACTTGATTGTAAGTCGCCTAGAGACTGTCCTGGGTCACGTTACTAGCAGTTCAAAAAGAGCTGTTAATAAAGGCTCATAACACCCTCTGTGGGAAGTACAGTTTGTTTTGTGATCATCTGACTTTCATAAATAGTATTTTCCCAAGAAAATTTATTTGGGGACACTCCCACCACATGTGCCAGAACTGTATGCAGTATCTCAAGTGTGGTCATTCCATGTACAAAAGCATTATAGTATTGGCAGCTTTATTTTCTGATGATCTCTAACATGGAATTTGACTCCTTTTTTAATAAAAAGAAAGATGTCTCACGCAGGAGTAACCTTTTTATCAAGCTATCCACAGCGACCCTGTGATTGCTGTACTGGTCACTGCCAATTCCTCTGGTGTAAGTGTGATGTTAGGTCTGTGTTTACTCAAATAAATAACAATTGAATACTAGAAATTGTCTCCAGCAGCACAAGGATCACGAAGTCATTGATTCCTACATTGAAAGGGGATTGGATTATATGATTCTGCTGATTCTGCTGAGTCTGCTGTCACCTGCATGGTTATTTAAAACACATAGAAATTCGATATCAGCAAAGTTTTATACATGATCCTCTGTACTTGGAAGTACGCCCCATACTGAAGACGTTCCTTTCTTCCCAAAAGATGGGAAACGGACGGGACCCATGGACATGGCAGCAAGTGCATGGCTGTTACTAAAAACAGCAGCTGTACATCTAGTTCCAGCACATGCAATATCTAGCAGAATTTGCCTTGTGCTGTGATGTCATGGCATTCCACTTTTCTCAGCCAATGATATGAATTGGGAGTGGGGAAATGAAGAATGATATGATGGCATAATGCAAGAGTTTTCCCCAGAGGTTTTTTAACATGCATGCAATGAATACATGGGGTGTGGGGTGCAGAGGTGGTGCTGCGGTAGCGCTGGACTCAACAGCTAAGAATAATGCATCAGGATTGCAGTTTTGACAGCCAGATGTCGGTTCTGAAATTTCAGTCATGTTTCTCTTGCCATACACACTTAGCAAAGTACATACCTCAAATATGCGCAGCACTTTAGCCAAAGCTCCAACTTCTTCTTTGAGGGAGAAAATCAAGGAGATTGCATCATTCTGGGCCTTGCTTTCTTCAATGTAGCTGGATTCCTGCATGATACATACGCAAATGTTGACCATAAGTCTTTTCTCATAAACATGGGTTACAAGAAAAAAGAATGGGACAAACTCAAACCATCTGGGCCAAAGTCTACAGTCTGGAAAGTCTGATGTGTGGTCAAGAAATCTTGGAGGCAGGGGTTTCTTGTGTCTTGGCACAAGAAGCTAATAAAAGCCATTCACTACGAACAATCTTGCTAATGAGGAAATGGTGAAGACACAAAGAGATCCAAAGACTGCTGGTAGGTTGCACAATTTTATGAGGAAAATCTTGAATAGATCCATGGAAGTGTTGTTTGCAAATCTAAACAACCCATGAGGATTTGATTATTATTATTTTTTACACCAGTTAATTTTATCCCTAGAAGAGCCAGGAATCCATCACTCAGAAGATGCTTTTAACACATTAATTTAGTCCACAGGGGGGGGGGGCAGCTGCTCCTCAAAATAGGCCACAGCTAAACAAAAGAGAACTTCACCTGTAGAAGTCTGCTTGGACATTGAAAATGTTTGAAGAACAAAAACTACTCAGGGCAAATTTATATGTATTAAACATTTATATTCAGAAGTCCCCAAATGTTGGCTTGGCATGATTGTCTCATACAAACCTGACCTACTCCCTCCTGACTGAGGGAAGGGGAATGGTCTCAACCAATGTCATGCTGAGCTCCAGGACAGCTTAGAACCAGGGGCGACTCACTGATTCAACACGTGAGTATGACTGAAGGAAAGAGCATCCGACCTTTATCCAAATTTCCACGTTCAGGACAGGATTCTGCTCCCAGGACTCATCCCTCTTGTCTCACTGACTTCAGAAGTCTTGCTGCTCTCAAGTGCATCCAACAGGCATGAGGCCAAGGCAAGCACTGGGGCAGGCAGTCGCCAGATTAAAGGATATGGTCACCATTGGAAACCTGGAGAGTGTGTTTTTGGAACCCTGCTTACATGCAAAATCTGGCATGTAAGTAGGAATAGAAACACCTTGATTTGAATTCTGACTTTTGTGAGTCTAGAGCACTTGAGATTATTGCAGGGAGGGGGGTAACAATAGATAATAACTGAATAATATTTACTTTGCTTGTATGTGGCTCTCATGATGTCTTCATAGTCTCCCCCTCCCTGCTTTCAGACCTGGACTGCAGGCTGGGGGTACCATTTTTGAAGTCTTCCCATTGTTAAAAAGAAAACCTGCACACAACTAAGATGGCAACTAACACATTAGGAAGAAATGTGCTAGCTTGTCTTGCCACCGGAGAGGCAAAAAGTTTAAAAATATATATTATTATTACTATTATTTGGAGCAGCCCAGAAATTCATCACCCACCTGCAGTCTGAAGTATATCACCTCATTCTGCTGCACTTTCATTCCATGACAAAATTACAGATTCAGCTGATTTGGAGCAGTATAATAGAATCAGCTCCTCCCAGCCTTGATATCTAAATTTTACCAAAAGTATGAGCAATTTTGAGGGTATTCCTCCTCAAGGAAAATAAGAGACTGGTAAAATTACTCAGAAGAATTTCACCCACCCCTTCCTTCTACTTTTCCTTCTAACTATTATATTGAATTAATTCTTTCCTCAGTGAAGCTATTTACTAAAATAATTCTGGCTAACGTTGGCCAGCTCCACAGGAACAAGTGTATGGACTACAGTCAGCTATAGACACCTGGACTCCTGCAGGAAATAATTGATCTTACACCTACATTTGCTCACAGCAGATATGTAATACATGGATGTCATACACAAGCGAAATTGCATCTTTGAACACCAGTGCATACGCATTTCACCTATTCATGCACCTATTTATGGGTAGCAACCACACAGTGGTGCTATCATCGCAAGATTTTGGGGCAGAAATCCAGGACCCCCGCTCAACTGAAGGAGCAGGAGGATCCCCAAAAAACAAGGCAGACTAACCACATTTTAAAGTGATGTAATACAACCCAAAGGGGTGAAGAACCCATAAGACCAATAAGTCTAGAGTCTAAAATTACCCTGCTGCATAACTGCATCAACACATTACATGTTCACCTGAATTTTTCCACTGCAGTCCTAAAGTATATAACTCCTCTACCCAGTGCTTTTTTCTAAAAAATTATATGTTTAGGGGTACTCTCATCTTCCTACTCATACTGAAATATTGGCACTGCATATTTAAAATGGGGAAGTGCTGTGCTCATGAGCTCTGCTCCCCAGTCCCATTAAAGTCCACAGAACTGGGCAGCGCTTCCAACTTTCTGGAACTCTGCATTTGACAACAGTTTCATATGCGAAAATTAGCAGGTAAAGCACCGGACAGAGAGAAAGGCTGTTGCCTGTGAATTTCTGCAAAGGTCAAGCCATTGTTGAAGTCATATCGAAGCTGGTCGAAAAGTTGTCAGCCCTAAAATCAGAAACTAGTAAAGTGCTTATTATAATGGACTTACCTGAGAGGCATCTCCGTTCATATGGCTAAAGAATTTATTATCCATTTCCACCCTCCAGCACTAGTGATCAGGATGTTTCTTACAGGGAGGAAAGATGGGTGACCTTACTGTGTTTGCAGGAACATCTGAGTATAATGTACACAGATATTTCAAGTTCAGTTTATAATTGAAGGGTCAGCCCTCTTCCTTTGATCCTTCCCTTCCCTGGGGTAGGCGGGGCGCTCTGCACACACCCCTGCGCCACCTCCTTCGGGCTCAAGAGGCACACATTGTTTACTCACGTCCAACGAAAGCCACAAGGCTGGAACACCTTTTAGCTTTGCCATGTGGCTTCTGTGTGGACGGATGGAAAGAATCAAGAGTCTTCTCATGTGGTTTCGCACTGTCTGCTGTGTTTAAATTCCAGCTCTGAAAAGCTTTTTCTTTTGCCACCCATGTGAGGAGAAAACAATAACAGAATTTCGACATCTGACAACATGCGATGTTCCCATCCATGCTTAACTTATTTGCCTGTGTCTGTGTGTAAGGAAGACTGATGAGAAAGTGACATAGTTACCTCATCCGTTGCCTCTTTATAATTTTGTATCGCTGTGGACAGAGTTTGCCCATGTAGATATAGGACTGTTGTGTCTAAAGGGAGATTAATGGGTTGCATCTGTTTAACAAATGTTTAAGGGAAAGGCAACTTAAGGAGGCAGAAAAGGGCATTAATAGGCTCCTATGTTTTAAACGGGACACAGGTGGCGCTGTGGTCTAAACCACACAGCCTAGGGTTTGCCGATCAGAAGGTCGGCGGTTCGAATCCCCGCGACGGGGTGAGCTCCTGTTGCTCGGTCCCAGCTCCTGCCAACCTAGCAGTTCAAAAGCACGTCAAAGTGCAAGTAGATAAATAGGTACTGCTCCGGCGGGAAGGTAAACGGCATTTCTGTGTGCTGCTCTGGTTTGCCAGAAGCTGCTTAGTCTTGCTGGGCACATGACCCAGAAGCTGCATGCCGGCTCCCTCGGCCAGTAAAGCGAGATGAGTGCTGCAACCCCCAAGTTGTCCGCGACTGGAACTAATGGTCCTTTACCTATACCTTTATGCTTTAAATAAAAACCACTAAGGACAATGTATTTAGTGAGAGGGCCAAAGCTCATCTACTTTGCATGCAGAAAGTCATTGGTTCAATCCTTGGCATCTCTAGGTATTACTGGGAGTGAGTCCTGTCTGAAACCCATGTGAAATATTGTGGGATCTTAAAATGATCACTAATCTTACCCATCCACAGCACTGCTTCTAGTCCTGGGTCAGAAGAAATATTTTAATGGAGGAGCTACCAATAGATGCCAGAGGTTGATGCCGGCCTGACATTTTCATAGTGGTGCCCCCACCACTGGATTCCTTTTGGTGCCAAGGCTGACAATTATTTGGTGCCAGCTGAGCCCTTTTAGAAAATAAATAAATAAATTCCGGGCCCTTTTTATTTCTAGTTTGTTTGTCTTTTATCCTGTCCTGGTGTTTGTTGTCTGTGATGCTCACCTGTGATGTAAACCACTCTGCGGACCCTACTGGATTGAAGAGCCAAGGTATTAAAGTCTAAGTGAATAGCAGCCTCTCCTTTTGCTTCATCCTCCTCCCGCTGATTACTCTCTGTGAATTGCCTCCAAGGCCTTTTATCATCCCAGTCCCATGGAGAGGGAGGCACAGATTTGCTTCAAGGCATGGGGTGTGTGGCTGGGGTTTCCATTCCCAATTCCCTGCATTCGCAGAAGTGAGGGTGAAGGACAGTCTGGCTTTGTTGTCACCAACCACGGAACAGAGGGCTCAGGCAGGATATTTTTCTGCCTGAGATGGAACAGCAAATGTCAGGCTGCTTAAAGTTTTCTCTTTCATTTGAGCAGTAAACATTTTTTGTTAAATAAATAAATACTCCCTCTCTCAATTCAAGGCACAGAGCACCCCAGGCTGACCAAGTCATTTTGACGCCTGAGGCAGAAAGTTCCACAAATCCACTCACCCCTTTACACTGCGGGAAGGTGCTCCTCCTGCCCATCATGATTCCAGTGTCGGAGGCCCCGCCTTCTAGCCCACTTCCCAGGTGGCAAAGGATGTCCCTGGAATGAGCTTGCTGCCCAGGAAGTGGATTCAGCCTGCTTTCACAACTGGCCAATCGCAAGCAGGCATGAGGGCAGACCACTCCAGGGGGTGGACCCGGCTGGGCCTGTTGGCTTTGTTCGGGCCTGCTCCCAAGGGCCTTGGCAGCCACTGTCGTTGGATCACACATCCACCCTCTCGATTTTTCAGATGTGGGTTGCATTGAACAGCCTTGCTATGGACCTTGTCAGTCACCATATTCGGGACCAGGCTGGAATTTTCCCATATTGGCTCCTCCCATTTGATTTTCACCATCCTCATAGCAATCATCACAACTTTGGTGGTTTGGGCATTGGGTAGGCATAGTCTTGGACAGAGGGGAGGTTGTAGTCTCTGCCTGCCCCTCCTGAAAATGGGGTATCCTATTAAAGGGATCCAGGGGAGATGCTTCTGTCGGGATGCCCAGGTAGGGCCTAGGACCACTGCACTCCCCAAGTGCAACCCAGAGGGGGAGCTACTCTTTGATGTAGGTCAAGAACTTCCTCTCTTCCGGCAAGCGGGCTGTTATGGTTTGTTCTCTCCCACAAACACGTGATGACTCTGGCTGTTGATTATTTCAGATTTATTGCTAAAACAACAAACTAGGACGGAGCTCCTCTACCCATCGTCCTCCCCAGAAGATGGAGCTCCTCCCCCTTCCCCAGCATGGAAACCCCCACCTTCTCTTCCAGTATCTTTCGTGCGTCTCGGCCATTGGCCACTTTTGAGATCCTACGAGATTTGGGAGAGAATGTTTCCTGCATTCCAACATCTGGCTCACTATTGGAGCTCTCACACACCTGCCTGCCACTCTGGCCCTGTTTTTCTCCTCCCCTTTGTTCCGAGCTCAGTTTACAGCTGCTCTCCCTCTCCTCTCTGCCTTCAGCTGCTAACTGTTCTCTCCCTCGGCCTGCTTCTTCTCCTCCTGTCAGCATCTGAGCTTCGCTGACATGGGCTGGAAGGAGTGTGGTCTACCCAATGCCTATGCCAAACCTCTTACATCTGTAATCAATAAAGTTGTCTATCAAAATAAAAGGCTGTTTATGTATGCAATGACAGCAGCAAGGATGCTTCGGGCCCATAGATGGAAAGAAGAAGTACCAACCAGAGAAGAATGGCAGACCAAGCTAATGGAATACACAGAAATGGCAAGACTGATGGCAGGAAGACCAAGTATTTTTAAAAGACTGGAATAACTTTTTAATATATTTGAAAGACCACTGTAAACAGTTGAAATCATTGGCAGGAACACAATGACACTTGTAAAGTAACATGAACTTTGGTTACCATGATTACATAATAGATGGATTACAGTAAAAGATGCAGGAATAACTCATGGAAATGGAACTCATGGAGGGAAGGAAGGAGGTCTGAAGGTTCAAAAGAACCTCTTTTTATTTTTTTGGAATGGTTATTTTTTGCTGTATTATGTAAAACTAATAAAAAATTATATATATAAGAAAAGTTGTGGCCTGGCCCAAATTTGAACTTGTCATGTCTCTAACTAACCTGTCCATTGGGCAGGGGCCGCCTAGGCATGCAAGTGCCTTTCCCTGAGAGTACAAAATCCACAATAATAAATTAAATAACTAACCATTGGCTGCCCTTACATAACACTCCAAAGGCACTGCCTCACTCTGCCTAATGGGAGGGCCAGTACTGGCTTCTGGGAGATCACAGACACCCTGCCTTCCCAGGAAGAACACCAGTGAGGGTTTGGGCTATTTTTATTGGAAGTATTTAATAAACTTGGAATTTGTTTTTCAAGAAAAATAAAATTATTTACAGAGCGTATTATTAACTGCATATCAAACGTACAATAAAATACAATTCAAGACCATATAAAACACCAACAAATGAATTAATACATTCAGAACACTATTTCCAGATGTTATTGGAAGCCAAGAGGACCAACACAAATCCAGCATTAAAATGATCAAAATCAGGCAAAAATTGGAGAGTTCTGAATCTCAGATCAAACTAGTTACTAAAGGCTGTGGTACAGAGGTGGGTCTTTAAGGCCTGTTTGAAACCACAGTAAACGAGACACATTTAGTGGAACACCATCCCACACTTGTGGGTACTCCACGGCCTGGAGCAAGGAGCCAACTCCCTCACTACCCTTCAAAATGAGCTCTGCTACAAAGGTCAGTTGCCCTAGAGGGCAATAGCTAGCTTGGACATGTGCCTTCTTTAAAAGGAAATTTCAATTTCTTTTTTTAAAAGTTTTGAAACATTAAATATTGTGTAACTTTCCCAGACCCTTTAGGATGATGAAGCAAGATATCAAGCAAGCAAAACATTTTAGCTACTCACCATACTGGTTCAAACACTCCCTTTCCCCCCAGAAATTTTATGGCTGATGTCAGACAACCTGATGCAATAGGCACACAAGGCATTCACTTTGCGAGAGGCTCTGATTGGCAGCAGCAGGGGGACTGGCTTTCAGCAACGTTGCCAGCAGTGTAAACAGAACTGTTAGCACATCAAGCATTAACTCTCCTGCGGGGAAAGTCTGCCCCATGAAAGTTTCATCCTTTTTATCATCTACAAGCACAAACTCCAAAGCATATTAGTCAGCATATTGAATGAGGTCCATGTAGAACAGCCACAGTACAAAATAAGGCCCTACGTGTTATGACAAGCAACATTTTTTTAATGCATGCTCACACTGACTGATTTTATTTTGAAGAAATGCCATGGGCATCCCCAGTCCTATGGGGAAGGCCCCTAACTCAGTGGTTGAGCATCTGCTTTGCATACAGAAGGTCCTAGGTTCATTTCCAGGTAGGGCTGGGAGAGATTCCTCTCTGAAACCCAAGAGAGCTGCTGCCAGTCAGTGCAGGCAAAACTAAGGTAGATGGACCACTGGTCTGACTTGGTGTAACTCTATAAATAAATTCCCCATTGAGGACTGAGACCTCCTGATGACTGAAGATCCAGATGAATAGGTAGAGCCCCCTGACACTGAAGATGCTGAAGAGCCAGTGTGGTGTAGTGGTTAAGAGCAGTAGACTCGTAATCTGGTGAACCGGGTTCGCGTCTCCGCTCCTCCACATGCAGCTGCTGGGTGACCTTGGGCCAGTCACACTTCTCTGAAGTCTCTCAGCCCCACTCACCTCACAGAGTGTTTGTTGTGGGGGAGGAAGGGAAAGGAGAATGTTAGCCGCTTTGAGACTCCTTCAGGTAGTGATAAAGCAGGATATCAAATCCAAATCCAAACTCCCTCCCTAGGTCTGCCTTCAGGAAGGACCCTTGGGGTGGGCTCCTGACCCACCACTGGCAGTGGAGTTCCTGACCAAGTCACCCCGTTTCTCCCTTAAGAGCATCAGCATTAGAAGATCCAAGGCAGCTGGTCAATGATGGTGTGCACACTTGGGAGGCCAATATCACCACGCATGGCTCTAGTCTAGAGGAATAGCATTCTTCATGAGAAAGGGCTCTTTGGACAGACTTAAGCACCTGCAGCTGGTGTGTGGCATATTCTAGCAGGCCAGACGATATTAATCTACCAGCTGCTGGAACACTATATGCCATTCCGCTTCCTAACTCTTTTGCTCTGCCCAGCTTTCTATGAGATCTTAGTTCCTGCCCCCTGAGCTCTTGCTTGTTGCATTGCATCTGATCTCTTCAGCCTGACCTTGGCAGAGGCAGAGGGTGATCCTTCATCCCCAACTGTTACTGCTTCCTACTGGAGAAAATATCATAAGTGTCTCCTCCACCCCCCAACTTCCAAATCAGAAAGCCCATGGAAACACTAATCTCCCATGTAACAGGTAGTTTGAGTCTGAGATAGTGGGCTTAAAGCAGGGGTCAGCAAACTTTTTCAACAGGGGGCCTGTCCACTGTCCCTCAGACCTTGTGGGGGCCGGACTGTATTTTTTTTTGGGGGGGGGAACGAATTCCTATGCCCCACAAATAACCCAGAGATGCATTTTAAATCAAAGGACACATTCTACTCATGTAAAAACACACTGATTCCCAGACCATCCGCGGGCCGGATTGAGAAGGCGATTGGGCCAGATCCGGGCCCTAGTTTGCCTTGTTGTTGCTGTTTAGTCGTTTAGTCGTGTCCGACTCTTTGTGACCCCATGGACCAGAGCACACCAGGCACTCCTGTCTTCCACTGTCTTCCGCAGTTTGGCTTCCAGCGTCATAACTTTTATATGCCTGTTGTCTTTGTCCATGGAGTTTTCTTGGCAGGGATACTGGAGTGGCTTGCCGGTTCCTGCTCCAGGTGGATCACATTTGGTCAAAACTCTCCACTATGACCTGTCCATCTTGGGTGGCCCTGCACGGCATAGCTCATAGCTTCTCTGAGTTATTCAAGCCCCTTCGCTATGGCAAGGCAGTGATCCATGAAGGAGTTAGTTTGCCTACCCATGGCTTAAAGTCTGTGAAGGGAGACAGTTTGTGTTCTACCACCTAATATGATCGCTGGCCAGTAGATGGTGATCTTTCCATGTGAGATGATGGACTTCCTGTTTCTGTCCCGTCCCGCCTTTTGCTTCTTAACGCACAGCAATAAAAGGGAGAAAGGGTAGGTAGGTCCAACTTAATTAAGGTAAGGCAGTTTCTACAAAGAACCCCATCTCCTGTGCACCTGAATCAGCACCTGCCCCTTGCTTCACTCCAGTTAATTGAGTCAGTAAGCGGAGATACTGTTTCCTGGCAACACCCAAGTGCTGCCACTCCCCAGGAATTTTGGTCGATGCACAAACGATTTTGCCGTCTTTTTACCACTTCGCCAAACTTTTGTTCAAAGGAGTATAATCACATTATAAAACGCTGAGCCAAAATGAGCAACCTTTTTTTTTATGAGCCTCTTCCGCTTCTGCAAAAAAAAAAGACACACACTGTTGACATTTTTGGACAAAGTGTTCACAATGGGGCATTTGCAAGAGGGCAAATGTTGGGAAGGAGAGGGAGCATGCACCCACACATGGATGGGAGTCAATCTGCACCACACTAGCGTATCAGCAGAATGTGCATTAGGTTGCACATCCTCACTGACATTCTGCCACAATTAGAGACACAGGAAACTGCCTTAGACAGATCCAGACCATTCGTCCATCAAATTAGTACTATTTATGCTAGTAGCAAACGTCTTTCTCAATTCTCCATTAAGATGCTGGAGATTAGATTGAAGATGTTTTGCCTGCTAAGCATGTGCTCTACCACTGGGCTATGACACCACTCCAATGTATCAGGATTTAAAAAACCCTTGCATGCAGTGTTGGTGGGCGAGCAATGATATTTCCACACTGAGATTCTGAGTCAGGAAAATAAGAAAGCTAAATTTAAAGAACACACATGCTTGATAGGAAAGATCTTAGTTCTAACTTAGGCAGAGGTTCAAAGAGCCATGCTTCTTAGCAAAAGAGATGAACAAAGATGTCTTGTCTTCCAAGGAAATACGAAAAGTGGTCAGCCACCCAGAGTATCAGTCCAACACCCGGGGGAAGGCCAGCACAGGTTAAAGGACAGTATGGGAAGCTTGGAGCTTTCTCCACCTACTCTTTGCCATCAGCCTCCAATGCAAGCTGAGTAGCACCCCAACACTTCCATGTCCCCCCTTTTCTCCCCAAATGACCAGAAGCACGCTTGACTCCATTTTCTCCTATGAAAGCACTTGATCAGAAATTAGTTGCAACTCAAGTCCTTTCAGTAAAGTGAACAGAAAGTTCTTTGTTTTGGTTTTTTAGTTGTTTTTACTAAAGGATTTTCATAGTTAACAAGCGTATATACAACGTATCTGTTTTCAATTCAGAGGGTCCTTTATACAGGTCAGTTACATTCGGTGTGACACACTGCTATCACAGACATTGTGAGGTTGTAGGGGAGAGAAAGAAGGGGGTAGTGATTTTTCATTCTTTTGCTTAGTGTATGTGCAGAGTTTCTGTGTCAGAGTTGCCAAGTATAGGTTCCTTATTTATCTGTTTCTTTGTTTTTGTTTTGTTGAGAGCCCTCCAAGACAGGATCCTGAGTGCCTTCTACTTCACCTCCCTTGTAAGACCAGAATTGGCTGGTGTTGCCAAGCAGACACAATTTTTTAATCAACATTCTGCCTCTTTAACAGAGATTTACAATAGGTGGGTATTTCCTGGGCATGGGAGCTAAATCTTATCACCTGCTAACTGCTGCAGATCAAATTGCAGCTCAGGAGATAGTAACAAGGCCAGATCAAAAACAGGCCAACTCATTTTACATTTTTTAATCGAAAGCTGTGGTGTCACTGCCAACGGCCACCTGTGCTGAGAATGTCAGTAAGGAAGTTTAAAATCTGACATGAAGGAGAGTTGCTTTTCCATTTTCCTGCCTCACCTTAGCTAAGAAATAGAAGCCTCAAACCTGTATGTAGAGCCAGTGTGGTGTAGTGGTTAAGAGCGGTAGTCTCGTAATCTGGGGAACCGGGTTCGCGTCTCCGCTCCTCCACATGCAGCTGCTGGGTGACCTTGGGCTAGTCACACTTCTCTGAAGTCTCTCGGCCTCACTCACCTCACAGTGTGTTTGTTGTGGAGGAGGAAGGGAAAAGAGAATGTTAGCCACTTTGAGACTCCTTTGGGTAGTGATAAAGCGGGATATCCAATCCAAACTCTTCTTCTCTTCTAGATAGATCAGTAGTCAGCTGTGGGCCAGCTTACAGCCTATGGGAATATCAGTGTTTCTTCACTAATGTCATAGGCCACCTGACAAGACCAAGCTGACATGGACAGCTTGTCACCAGCAGGCAGGCTATTTCCCAGCATGACCATTTGCTCCATAGCTTCTCCTAAGAACTTTTAAAGAGCCCTGCAGGATCGGACCAGAGGCCTATGCAGTCTCACATGTGCTTCCCACAGTGACCAAGCAGATGCTTCTGGGAAGCTCTCAAGAAGGACATGAACATGGCAGCCCTCTCCCACTGTTCCCCAAAAACTGATATTTAGTGTTACGCTGATGATGATCCAACAAGAAGCATCTATGATTCCATGATCATGGCAGCAGGCCCCTTTTCTTGATGCTTAATTCTTGAGGATTTGGAAGGTTCTACTCCAGGGAAAGCAGGGCTCCACCCCTTCCTCTCCTCCTCCTTTCAAGCATAAAGGCCAGATCAAGGCAGGGATTGAGAACCTCAAGGTTGGGGAACCATCTACCTGCCCTCAGGACACACCTATTTCCTAGGCCACACCCCTACTGTGTCCTTGAACGCTTGCCTGGGTGGGGAGTAGAAAGGGATGCAAAAAGCAGCCTGGTGCATAAAGTCAGGATCCACATTTGTTGCTCTGGCCACTTTGACTCTGGCCCCATCCGCCACTGCCATATGGCCCCCAGAAAGTTATTCAATGCTATGCAATACTGTGCAATACTAAAATTTTGTGTCCCCTGCCTCTTGTGCTCTGTTCTACAGCATTGTTTTGGCCCCCCTGCAGGACAGCACCAGTCGCACTCTGCTCTTGCCCACAGAGGTCAGTCAGAAGCCTATGGGAAACACACAGTGAGGGCCTCCACCCCAATATCTGCCAGTGACTGGTGTTCACAGGTATGGGCTGCATTCAGAAAAGTGTATGTGGATGTTCCATCGTACAAAGATTTCAGCTTGCACAACACAATGTCACACACACCCTTCCTCCCATGATCTCCCCAAATCTGTTCTAGGGGTTCCACCAACCCTCCAGAGCAGGGGGCAGGGGGCACACTTTGGGGAAGGAAGGGGGAGTTCCATTGAGAAACAGTAAATCTGTGCACTAATGGAACAAGTGCATTTGATCCTGCCCTATCTTGCCTCTAAGCGGGGAGATAGCACACAGCCACCCTGACAAGTACCCATAGCACAAAGCTCTCTACTCCCATTTTAAAGCCATCTAAATTGGTGGCCATTACCCCCAAATTGGACAACCAAGTTACATGGTTTAACTGTGCATTGTGTGAATAAGTACTTCTTGCTATGTGTGTCCTGGAATGCCCACCATTCACTTTTGTTAGATGATTCCAGGTTCTAGTACAGTGGTACCTCAGGTTAAGAACTTAATTCATTCTGGAGGTCTGTTCTTAACCGGAAACTGTTCTTAACCTGAAGCACCACTTTAGCTAATGGGGCCTCCTGCTGCTGCGCCACCGCTGCTGCACGATTTCTGTTCTCATCCTGAAGCAAAGTTCTTAACCTGAGGCACTATTTCTGGGTTAGCGGAGTCTGTAACCTGAAGCGTATGTAACCTGAAGCGTATGTAACCCGAGGTACCACTGTCCTATCAAAGAGGGGGGAAATCACTCTTTTATCAACTGTCCCCAGACTGTGCATAGTTTTATACAACTCTTGCCAAGTCCTTCCTTCCTTGACTCCACCCCAGTGATAGACCACATGCTGTGCATGCGAAAGATCCCAGGTCAGGCTCAATCGCCCTGTACCTCCAGGTAGGACTGGGAATCACAGAATCATAGAGTGGGGAGGTTCCCTAAGGCTACCTCTAGTGCAACCCCTGCAATGCAACCATGCCCAAAACTCTGGAAAGCTGCTGCCAGTCAGTGTTGGCAATACTGGTCAGACATGGTATAAAACAACTTCCCATGTTCCAAAACCAAAGGAGAGGAACCCATGACCATCTCACTATAGTCAGATCTACAATTCCCATCTTCCTTGACCATTGGCTACTCATGTTGAGGCTGATGGCAACTGGGAGCCCAAACCTCTTCAGTTTCTCAGCCCTGTTCCTAACTTTCCAGGAAGTCTGATCTGGAAAAAGCCTGCCAATGCTAATAGAGGAGAGGGTGAGCTTTGAACGTCGGGATGGAGACATTTAAGGAACCAGCACCCTTGCTTTCCAGGTACAAGGCAAGGACGAAAGCTCCCAAACTCTGCAGATTGATTTATCCTATTCAGACTAATATTCCAGCATCACAGTGCAAGTCACACTTTGCCCGCGTTGCAGGGAAGCAAGCAACACAGCTGCGGAGGATGCATGGGCACAACTTGATTTCTTATTATACAGTATTTGACTTATTGGGCCACAGGAAATTGCACACGTCTGAATAGAGGGGGAAAGTCTGCTTCTTGGAGTCTGTGAAAAGCAGACAGATAATGTACTTTTTGCCCAGTGGATCTGCACGCCCAGCCGTCCGATTTCCCTAGCAAACCTGGCTGGGAATCCCTCGACTTGCTTCCTCGGGCCGAGCTCCCATCGCCGTCCGTGCAGCAAGGAGCCTCGCCGCCTTGGCCGCTGATGGACGCGGGACACGTGGCCGCACAATGGGGACACACGACTGACCTCAGCCAAGTCGGCAAACTGCCCCCGACCTGATCCCGGCGTCCTTTGCGCGGGGAAGGTTGCTGGGGGGGAGTAGAAAGGGGAGGGGCGAATTTTCAAAGACACCCCCCCCCAATACTCCACCTATTGCTTTTTGCTGTCGAGACGTGGGCTGCATCTGCGACGCAGGCAGTTCCGTTTAGAGTTGCGATAGTGACAGCAGCCGAGGAACTCGGTTTGATCCAGAAGTCGACGTTTGCAAACGGCTCTCTGCAGCGCGTTCACCCCACTTCTCATTTCCTATGTTGCAAAAGGGAGCGAGGGATGGGAGCTTTGAATATCTCTATCCCGCTCTCCTCCTGTTAAATGCAACAAACCTGTCACTTCGGGTTAGTTTGAGACCCGAGGCCGCTGATTAGCATGAGCTGTAGCTAATATGCTTAAGGCTCCCTAATTATTTATTATGCCCTTAATGGCTGGGGGGGGAGCATCGTAACGACGTCCTTTTTAATTAATTTATTTTTTAAAAGAATAATGGTAAATGAACAAAAAGAGTCTCTAAAACAACGGCGACGATTGATTTAGGGCTGGTCCACAGAGGAGGAGGGGAGTGATTGTCCATCGTGGCCGGACGGAGGTCAATGTCACGGTCACCCGATTTGGAAAGTGAAAACTCGGAAAGAGTGAAATACTGACCTCGCTGAAGTCCCAAGTGTGTGTGTTGGAGGGGCGGGAGATCCGACTGGACATCGTTTCCTCGAAAGGTCGCCTCCCCTCCTTCCGCCCCCCCCCCAAAGACGGAGTTTCAGCCCTGAAGGGAAACTTTGAATCAGAAAAACAAATGCAATACTCCAATTTAGAATTACTGGTGTGTGGTTTTTTTTGTTTGTTTAGTTTAGTTTAGTTTAAACACACAAACTTTAGGCATTCCTTTCTGCGGAAGTTCCGCGTCTCTTCCCATTTTGGAGGAAATCTCAAACAATTTCCCTCTCTTTCCCTTTAATTCACAACATTTCAGGATCCAGAGTTATAGTCAGAAAACCGTTTTTTTAAAAGTTAACTTCTCTGTGCTCTCCCCCCTCCTCCTCCCCCCTCTCCCTTTTCAAACTCCTTTTCTCCCTCCAGCTCTCTTTATCTTCCTGCGGGTTGTGCCAACTATTTATTTATCTTTATTATTCCTTCTCCTTTCTTTTCTTCGCATTCCTTCTTTTCTCCCTCTCTCCCTGTGCCTGGACAGTGTGATCCTTAGCTTGTTACCACCCACTGCACGCTCCCTCTCTCTGCTGTTGCCGAGGTGTTTCTATACAAACTTCAGCGTCCAGTTGTCATATTAATTATTACACGGAGTAATGACTGAAATCGTCAAAATAAGAGGGAGGCTTGAGCAGAGTCCTCCCCACCCCACCCCCTCCGCCTCCTCTTTCTCCTCCTCCTTTTTTCCTGCCTCCTCAAAGATTCAGCAAAAGACCCTTTGCAGCACAAAGCGCTAATTGGGCTCCAGCAAATACCCTGACAAGGCATGGAAGATAGGGTTCATAAAGCCCCACAATTGTGAAGGGGGGAAGGATCCCTGAATAGACCCCACGCTTCTTTTCTAAACTCTCTTGCTGAGCAAAAAATGGACTGATTCTTGAATACTGGACTGATCTTGAATGCTATACCCAGCAGAGAGAGAGAGAGAGAGAGAGATGGAAATTGTAAGGGTGTCCCCTCCTCCTCCTTCCCCCGCCCTCCCAGCTATTCATGTCTTCTATGCGGAGAATAAGCTGGTTTTTTTGTTTTGTTTTTTGTTTACTATGAAAGACCTTTTACTTTATTTTCGCTCTTAGAGATGGAAGGTTTGGGGAGGGGGAGGCAGAGACATGTGCCTAAGACCCTAAGCTAGCTTGCCTACTGTAACAAAACAGAGTGTAACAAATCGGACCCTCCTTTCTCCCTCCTCCCCAAAAAAGTTCCAACTGTATTGGGTCTTTTGAAGAACTAGGTAGAATTAATGACTTTCGTTATGCTTCTCGAAAGGACGGGCATTTTATCATCGCGCACGCGGGGGAAAGCTTTAGAAGCAAGATTGTTTTTTAAGCAGAGGAAAGTTTTTAAAAAAGAAAAATGGAGAGGGTAGTGGAGGGACGTCAAAAGACCCCGGGCCTGTGGCTGCCTGCAATTCACACCCAGAAAACAAGGGCAAAATAATGACGGGAGTTTCTTGAAGGGGAGCAGAAAAGGAATATTTATTATTATGGGGAAATTGAGGACTCTTAACTGCAGGTGCAGAGCTAGTGAAAGGAGGCTGTGTGTGAGAGAGAAATCGCATTTGGTACCTATAACTCTTCACTTCAATAGCTATTTTACTCTGATCAGTAATTTGAGAAGAAAGCCTGATAACAAAACTAATTCAGAAGCTATATATGTGTCTTTGTGTGTGTGTGTGTGTGTGTGTGTGTGTGTGTGAGAGAGAGAGAGAGAGAGAGAGAGAGAGAGAGAGAGAAGGGCATCATATAGATATGATTGTGTATCATAAGCAAAGCCTACAGGAGATCTGGAGCAATGTAGAAGTTTAGAAACCTTACCTGGCTGATAAAACTAATGTTCCATTTTCTCCAGGAACAAAACATCCCTGGGTAGACTTGCCCCCCTTATGGTCATGCAGGGGAGGCATGGACCTATTGGGTCCCATGCACCACTGGCTTGCTGTTTCTTGCTTTTTTTAGACACTTTCATTTGTGGCAGGGACAGAAACCTGAAGCTCCCCAGCTGTTACTGGATTCCAGCTCCTCTCAACTAGCATGGCCAATGGGCCAAGGATGATGATAGCCTAGGAACACAGAAAGCTGCCATTCTGAGAAAGCTGCCATCCATCTCACTCAGTATTGTCTACACTGACTGGCAGTGGCTCTCAGAGGTGGATTTAGAGGAGCACTGGGTTCAGTCACACTGGGCACTGAGCGGCACAGGGGACGCAGCAACTGTGATTTAGAACGGAGCACGAGGAGTGGGCGCCATTCTCCTCCCTGTTGAGTTCTAACAGGGCTGAGTTCTTAGTTTTCAGACTATGGAAAAGGAAGAAGCTGACAGCCAGTGCCAAACACACACACCTGGCTTGGACTAAGTAAGAAGGCAGGTGGGTGACTGGGTGGTTGAGGACAGAATGAGTTTCATGGGGCCTTCACCTATCAAACATCATGTGGCCCAGGTTGCCTTAAACCTGTAGCTGTCCCTGCCATGAAAAGCTGGGCTTGAAACACCTTCTCAATCAGAGATGACCATTCTGGGCAAGACAGGTGCATTGTAAGATGCTTTGTTTCCAAATATTTAGGAAATAACAGCCCCCCCCACCTAATCAAAAGATCACATATGCATTTATGGGGCATATTTACAAAGTTGTCTGCCCATGGTTAGTAGGTTGTGGGAATCTCTCCTCTTTTGAGCAGAGGCTATCAACAGGCATGCAATGGACTAAGTGGACTTTTCTACAAACTCATTGCTGTATACAAATATATCAAGGTGAGTCATTGGAATGAACTTTGGGTTTTATTTCATTGCACATCTAAGTCTGGAACATATATTAGCCTTAGAACCACACTACATGTGGACACAAGAGGCCTCTGGTCAGATCTCCCAACTTCTTTGCTTTGAGTTAAAATTCCTTGATGGGCTTTACCAATTTGCTCAAGCTGCAGTGAAGTGAGGTGGATGCTATGGGCCTCTGTGCTGTTTTCTTAATCTAAAATTGCCCCCTGAAGCTAATGGCAGGCCTGGGGGGGGGCATAAAAACGCAGCACCTGTCTAAGTGCTTTCAGCAGCATCAATATTCTCACGTTAAAAATAAGAGCTAGCCAAGATGTCTGGTTGAAGAGGCTCCTAGAAATATAATGCTGGTACCCAGGGCTGCTGACATTTGACAACAGGGATGGAGCATCTTTTTTGGTCCAAAGGCTGCAGACCCTCATAGGAAACCTTCCAGGGGCTGCATGCCATTGATGGGTGGGGCAAGCATAGGGGCAGACTTCGCTAATCTTTCATTATATGGCGCTCTGTGAGGCCAAAATTTGGCATTCCCAAAGAAACCTCTCAGTTATGGATCTTCTCAATTTTGTGCCCCCTCGGCTTGGAGCCCTGTGCAGGGGAACTGCCTGCATCACCCTAAATCCAGCACTGGGGTTGGAGTAAAAAGGGTCTAGGAAAAGAGGCTTCACCTTTCTCCATCCAGGAAAGGAAGAAGCATTATCACAAAAGTCCTTGAGGAGGCACTAGGCAAAAGCACTTGAGAGGAGCACGACCAGGGCTGTTGAGGGGCATGGCCTGGCACTCAGGACCAGGCAGAGATCCCTGGAGGGCTGCATTTTAAACAGCCATATGCAGGGCTTGCCACTACATCCCGGCAAGTCTTTTTATGAACTTTACATTATTTTTGCAGATCTGACCAGAGTTCTTCCTTGTACTAAAGCTATGCGCTCATGAATATTTGGTGGGGTATGCAAAGTGAAGCATCTTCATATGCCTTAATTGGCTTCAGATTTGTGATTCCTGCTCCTGAGGGGCATTTCACACACGTCACAGTAGTTTGCCAAGTTTGCCATCAGCTGCACACATGGCAGGGAACTGGAGCAATCCCAGCTCCCTGGCAAGTGGAATACGAGGCGTGCATTTGGCAGGTCATGTTTCTTGTATTGATGTGTTACGGAAGCTCCCCTTCGCTCGGAAGCCCGCCGCCTGACAGCGCTCTCCAAGCGGTCGCTCCGTCTCGCAGGAAGGGCTGGTGCTTCTCGAGTCTCCGCTGCCCCCGCCCCGCTCACTCGTGGGGGTCGCGCCGTTGTCACCGGGCTGCTCCTCGCAGGGGTCTCCCAAGAACCGCGCTCTCAGGCGCCCTCCACCCAACTCGCCGCCTCAGAAAGCGGCTCCTGAGAGGAAAGCTCGCGCCAGGCGCTGCGCCTCCCCCCGCTTGCGAGGAGCCCGGGGAACCCCTCCCCCCTCGCCCTTTCTCGACAGCCCCCTCCCTCTTCCATTACCGCCTCGGCTTCAACTCAGCCAATCAGCGCTCGCTGTGCCGCCTGGGCCCCCTCCCTCCTTCCCCCCACATGCGGTGGCCCAGCCCAATTGTTTATTCAGCGGCTGGGCCAACGGCACGCGCCGGGCGCACGCACTTGCAACAACAAACCTTGCAAGCGGAGCGGTGGGGGGAGAGGAGGCGGAGTTGGGTCCAGCGCGCGTGCACGCGCGTGTACGGGGGTTTGCTCCTCTGTGTGTGTGCGTGCGCGCGCGTCCCTGTGTGTTGAGCCTTTTCCATCCAATTGTTTTTTTACACACACACACACACACCCAACACCCTTCTCCGGACCGGTCATGAAAAGACGGGCAGCACTTCCCCGACTCGCGGCCACTCATTGCAAAGCCGGGGAGTGTGGAAGGCGCAAGGTGCACAGAGAGAGAGAGAGTGCGTGCGTGTGTGCGAAGAGAGGCAGCGATAGGAGGCGGCGCGAGCGAGCGCGCGGGGGGGGGGAGTGTGAAGAGAAAAGGCGGCGGCCGTGGGGCGAGCGGGAGGGGGGGCCACAACAGCGAGCCCAGCTCCGGCCGCCCCTTATAAGAGACACAATCTCTGGACGTTTTTGGCAAAAGGGGTTTGGCGAAGCGGGCTGCGCACACGCGAGCGCCACGAGCCTCCCTCGGTTCCAAAGAAAGGGGAGGAGGCCAAGCCGGCGGTGCCATCTGAGCTCGCTCGCGCTCTACACCCGCAAGCCTTTTTCCCCCTTTCTTTTTCTTTTTTTAAAAAAGAAACCAAATTCTCCTTCCCGCGCCTCAGGCCAGCACAAGCCGCGCGCCTTTCCTCGTCCGTGCGGCCGCCCAATGGCCAGCGCCAGCCCCACCAAGATGGACAGCGTCGCCAGCCAGCCGCCGCCTCCCGCGCCTTTCCTCCAGCCCGCCTGCTTCTTCGCGGCTGCCGCGGCGGCGGCTGCAGTGGCCGCTTCCCAGAGCGCGCAGCAGCAGCAGCAGCAGCAGCAGCTCAGCCCGGCGTTGGCGGGCCACCCGCAGCACCAGTCCTCTCCCGGCGGCGGCGTCAAAGCGCCTGTTGCGGCTGCGCCGAAGCCCCTTCCGCAGCAGCCGCTGCAGCAGCAGGTGAAGCGCCCTCGCTCGTCGTCGCCGGAGTTGATGCGCTGCAAGCGGCGCCTCAACTTCAGCGGCTTCGGCTACAGCCTCCCTCAGCAGCAGCCGGCGGCGGTGGCGCGGCGGAACGAGCGCGAGAGGAACCGCGTGAAGCTGGTCAACCTGGGCTTCGCCACGCTGCGCGAGCACGTCCCCAACGGCGCCGCCAACAAGAAGATGAGCAAAGTGGAGACGCTGCGCTCGGCCGTCGAGTACATCCGGGCCCTGCAGCAGCTCCTCGACGAGCACGACGCCGTCAGCGCCGCCTTCCAGGCCGGCGTCCTCTCGCCCACCATCTCCCCCAATTACCCCAACGACATGAACTCCATGGCGGGCTCGCCCGTCTCCTCCTACTCCTCGGACGAAGGGTCCTACGATCCCCTCAGCCCCGAAGAGCAGGAGCTCCTGGACTTCACCAACTGGTTCTGAGAGGCCCCGGAGGCCCTCTTGGCGCTGGCTGGGCAGCAGGTGGGTTTGGCTGAAGCAGCTTCTCGGGCGGGGGGCGAGCGGGGAGGGGGTCGTGGCGGGGCTCCGTTGCTGGCAGGTTGGAAAGGAAGAAGGGTTTGTTCTTTTCTTGAACCGTAGAGCTGGTCATCTAGTCCAACCCCCTGCATAGAACCATAGAGCTGGAAGGGGGACCCAGAGGGTCATCTAGCCCAACCCGCCTCCGCACTGCAGGGATCTTTTTTGCCCAAGGTGGGACTCGAACCCACAACCCTGTGATTAAGAGCCTCGTGCTTTTAGTCGGCTATTTTTCCATTGCCATCAGTGCACATGGCACTCGTCGGAGTGAGGAAAGGCAAGGCTGCTGCCCCAAGGAGGTTACAATCAAAACAAATTTCACGGGGAGGACAAGCATGTGCAAATGCACCTAACAAGAGCTTAGGAGTGGAGGACACCATCTCATTAAAATTGATGGGAGTTGATTGACCTGTATCCCGCTGAGCTCAGTGGCTCGTCTCCAGAGTGGTAGGTTGCAGTCCACGGACTACTTGCCCTGCTTGGGCTCCGGGTGAAAAAAGAGCCCTCTTGGTCCATGGCAAATGGAGTGTAGGGTGCCTATGCTTCTCTTTTCTTTTCCTCTCTTTATTCAGTGTTCAATACTGAGATACATTCTGAGTGCCCTATGGGGAGGTGGGACCTACTTTGGACTAGCCCTATTTGATTACAAAACTGCAAATAACTAAGTGCTCCAGAAGTACTCCTGGAAGTCAGTGTAGTGGTCAACTTTAGTAGGATCTGTCAGTGAGACAACACTGGCCTAAGTGGCTTGTGTATTACATAGCCTGACTCCAAGACTGGGCTTCTGTAGTCAGCAAAATGCTTAATATGCAGTAGGCCTGGAAAATGGTTTGTAGCCTTCAACTGGGATCTCACTGAGCAGCTAGGTCAATACTGCCCTTAACCTTTATTTATTTCCCATTCACTATCTAATGTATATCACAACAATATTTTGTCTACATGAATCAAAACACTAAAACAACAAAACCATGATAAACCGTAAGCTAGCACACTTGGATTCCTGCCAATTGGTACTCAAAATAATAACTCAGAAGAATATTCCATTGGTTTAACTTCCTGCTATGTCCTATGAGAGGGCCAATAGATCTATATTATGATATAGAACTGTTAAAGGGGCTTCATTCCAAATATGTCTGGATGCCAGTTCTGTGGACGCTAACAGGACCCATACTGTGGTCAAAGGACACTATGTGAGGTCACTTAGATCCCAGGTCTAGCCAGTGCCTGGATGGGAGGCTGCTTGAGGTCCATCACGCCAGTGTAATGAATGTGATTACTTAATCTTAAATGCGATCCAGTCCAGTGGGATCTCTGCCACTCTTTTCAGTGGCACCTCCTCCCTAGTAAGATTTAGGACTGAAGCCTTATGCACACTTTCTGGGGAAGAAGCCCCATTTATCATAATGGGACTTTTTGTGAGTTGGTATGCATTACTGTAAGTGTGTTCAGGACTTGGGAATTGCACCCATTGAAGTCACTGGGATCTACACTGCAGTCCTGAATAATTTACTCAGAAGCATCTTTGAGTTAAATCCAAAAAATTCAACATAACAGAATTGTAGGCCTTGCTGTGAAGCGGGTGTGTCTTTCTGAGCAGAATGATCACTTAATGGAGCTGGCATGCCAAAACCAATTGTGTCCTTGTCACAACTTGGATTAAGCCTTGATGCTTACCTCTCTCTCCTTATGTTGTTACAGGACTTGCTGAAAAACGGTTGCATCTGTTTTCTTCCCACTATGGAAAGGAAGAAAAGTCAAGACAGTGAAGCACAGAATGAGTTTGACTGCATTTGCAAGAAACCGGAAGCACTCCCTGATTCTGCCTTTGCACTCCAGGCTGTTTTGAAGAGACATGCAGCCCAATTCTATGTATGTTTACTTGGAAGTTAGCCCCATTTAGCGGAATGGGACTCAACTACTCCCAGATAAGCCTGCACAGGATTGCAGCCTCAGTGACATTCACATACATAGGATCAGGCTGCACAACGGGCTTAGTAGCAACAGGAGGCCCAAGAGCAACTATCTGCCTATTCAGTACCCCCAAAGTTAAACAACACTGCCTATATACATCATATACATCTTCAACAGAGCAATGAGCTTCCCGTTTTGTTGAAATAAATACAGTATTGCTTCTTTGGAAAGACTGTTTCACTTGCAGCTTTCTGGACACAAAACACAGTGCAATCCTAGCATACTTACTCAGAAGTAAGCCCCACAGCATTCAGTGGGACTTCTTCCCAAGTATATGGCTTTAGGACTGCAGCTGTGCAGACGAATCCTGTGTCTGTTTACTAGATTCAGTGGGACTTGCTCTTAAATAAGTTTGCAAAGGACACTCCTGTTGCCTAGTACTTGTGGAGATTTTGAAAATCAAAACTATGCTGTATTCAAAGAATCCTCTGATGTCTCCCTCTCTCCTTCATCCACTTCCTCCCTACCATCCCCATCATAAAATGCTTCCAATTTTTTCTTGTGAACTTTTTATTATATAAAAAAAATCTATTTGTATCAATCCTAACCAATTTTGGGGATATATTAAGCTATTTTTGTATATAAGAGACAGAGAAATTTATAGACTTTTTTTGTACAAATGGTTTAAAATGTGTATATCTTGATAACTTTTTAAATGATATGTAATGCTTATTACCTCTTCATATCTAGATGCGTAGTCAAAATGACCTTACAACTGCCATGTTTTTGTCATGTGGTCTTGTAAAGGACTTGGAAATGCCTCCGGATGTACTTTAGCACCGATGTGTCTTACTTTTTTATAGAAACTTTGCTAATGTATTAATAATGTTATTAAACAATTGTTCAAAGTGAACAAAGTTTATGCAGCTATTGTCCAAACGCAAAATGGTAGCTATTTATTTTACAAGCTGCTGCCTTTTGAAGAAAAAGAAAAATTTTACTACTGCCTTTTCACACTGTTTTATTACAAACTTACAAAAATCATGTATAACCGTGTTTTATACAAACTAGTTTGGTAATAAAACCTTTTGTTTCAATTAAAGCAACGTCTTCCTGGTTCTACTGCATATCTTGATTTTCTTTTCTTCCCTATGTTTTCCATGTATAAGAAGAGTCAAATATTCACAGAGGGGGATATTACACTTCTGGGGCTCAATCTGTGTGTATATATAGATGCACGTGAGGATTCAAAATAAGCAGGCCTACAAGGATATTGCAGCAGTTGCTCTTCTGCTGCTGGGTTTTCCAAACGTGTATTAAATAGGGAGAGGTCTGCCTGCTTAGTTTCCCTTTCTACCTCTACACAAATCATACTCCACCAAAGAATTAATCCTAGCAGGGAGGGAGCTCTTTTTTAAAATCTGACATCTCTGTTCTCCGCTTTCTCGTGCTATATAACAGGGTGTACACAAGAAAATCAAAGATGTTTATCAGGCAATATCCCTTAAAATCATGTTAGAGAAGCGCTGGCGTATGAGAAACATGAAATGGGATGGCGGGCAGCAAAGCCGCAGAAAGTGCGCGCCTGAGATTCAATACGCCGATCTAGCTGGCCTGTTTTTTACGTTCCCCCAACAGCGTGATCTGCGTGTAAAAGTGCCCAATTACCAAGATTCAAAAAGAAATTGGGTCTCTTCCCCCTCCCCGCTTTTTCTCCCTTTTTGGCTAGTCTCCTTGTTGTCAGTTAGCAAAGACGTGACTAGAATCCGCCTCTGGTTCATTCTCTCCCCCTCGTCCCTTTCCACCTCCCCGTTTCTTGCTTAGCTCCTCCCGCCTTGCTTGCAAATTCAGTTTGCGTGCGCCAAGCCAAGCGGAAAGCCAAGCGCAAAACGCATCTAATAAAATAAAAAAGGAGGTAGCCAATGTTTCTAAAAAAAAATTCTATCCTGCTTTTTTAAAAAAAATATGGAAGAAAGAGAGAGAAAAAAACAATGCTACGCGAATAAATTAATACAGAAAGTCTTCATGCACTGGACTATAACGGAATTTTATTTAATTTGGCAGCATTGCATTGCCATACATGCGGCCTCCTTCCCCTCCTCTACTTTCTCCCCTCGTCCATTAATATGCTGCGGGAGGGGGAGGCAGGAGTAAAGAAACCATTGGATTGCCCATTCAGTACAAGCACTCGTTGTTTTTAACCGATCTTGCAAGTTTTGTTTGATTAGGAAAATAATAACGGTTACATTCTCTTCTGCCGCTTTTTTATGCTATTTAAAAGGTGGCTCCCTTTTTCGTTTGTTTACCCACCTTTACAAGGCTGTAGAGATAAGGTATGCAAATGAAGTTTAGCAAGTAATTTATGGCTATGTGTATCCCATTACGACAATGTCTCATTCTGATACTCCAAGACCAAATTTTCTGTTCCTTATGGAGACAGGTGTTCTCTTTTTTTCCCCATCCCTCTCTCTTTCCCCCCACCCGCGCGCTTTTCTTCTCCTCTGAATAGTCAATATCCAGACTCGTGAAATCAAGAGGCAAAGTTACGGCGCTCCTTGTAACGAAGTCAGAAGCGGGCAGGAACCCAAACCTTTCGCCCCCCCGCCCCCCCCAAAGACCCACACCATTTCACTGGAGATAGGAAAGTGCAGGGCAGGCTGGAGCGAAATCTCATTACATCTGCTCTAATCGCTTAGCAACACAAAGCCTTTTCTTGTGCTGGGAGGCAAAGCTATTCAGGGGCTCTGACAAGACGGATTCAGCCTTAGTAAACTCCATAAATCAGGGAGCATCTATTTTATGGTACTCTCAAGTTTTCAAGCTACTCAGCTAGCGCTATATGGAGGGAGGGGGGCGGGGGCGGAGGACGCGTTAGGGGCGAAAGAACCAGAGATACCGATGGAAATTGTTAGGCGTTGTTAGAAGAAGGGGATTCGTAGAAATCGAGCCATATTTGCCCAATGCACCTCAACCACTTTTCCACTTTTCTTTCCCAAAGAATAACTGCGCGAACGAAACAGGGGGCAATTCAATAAACGCTCTTTAAAAAGCAGGGCGAGCACACACTGCAGGGCAGGTTGGTTGGTTAGGTTGGAGTCGCTGGCATTAAATAGGCAAAAAGAGCCGCCGACACCCAACCGGAGCAGTCGCCCGTTGCATGTGGGAAAGACAAAAAAGAGACCCCCAATTTGTTATGTCTGTGCAGCCAACATTGTTTTGGCGTGTGTGTATTGTTGTTGTGTGTGTGTGTGTTGGGACACAATGACGGGAGGTAACAGAAATTGTGCGCAGAGATAGATGCGCGTGCACCTTCTCGCAGATGGAGGCAAGGTGATCGATACCGTTTCGGGTGCCCAGAAAAAGAAAGAAAAAGAGTTCGATTCAGTTTTTATTTGGATCCTGCTTTAATGGCCTTTTTCCTCCACCGCTTTATATTTTTTTTTAGCTAACCCTAAATCAGGACAGAACGGAGCTCAGTGCCAGCAAGAAGAAAACTCCCAGTGACCAATGCTCGCCCCCCTCGACTCTTCTTAAACTGATCGGGAAGAAGTTGGCGCATCGATTCCCATCTTGCATGCGGACTAAGAGTTTAAAGAACTAGGCCCCACTCTTTCGCCATCTACTGACAGCCATCGATCAATATCCAAGTGCGGGCGTAATATACGTCACGCCCATCATCAGGGGTTTAGCTTTCGCTTCCATTGAGCGAGGGTCCGAGGAGGAAGAAATAATGCCATCCATTTAAACCTTTAATGCTAAACTTACAAGGCTTACTGACAGGGGTGCCAACTTGAATAAAATATTGAGGGCGGAGCCAGGTAAGCCCCGCCGCACATAATCGATCACAAGATGTGGAGCGCGCATAATACTCTATTTGAATGGCAATGCCCATCAACTGGGGAGCAGGGTGCCCCCCTCAAATATTTTATTGAGGGACCAAGGGACCTCGCCCCCTAGGAGTTTGCGTCTATGCTTACTGAGATTATCGTAAACGGATCGGCTTTAAAGTATATATATTCAACCCTGAATCAAACACCATATACCTTTTTTGCCGCGTGTTTTCAGCAAACCTTTGCTGCGGGAGCACAGATAGCAACTTTCCTAACCTCTTCCACCATCTCACCGTGCCTGACTAGTCTAATTCCTGAAAAGATTTCAGGACCTTGTGATCCTACTTCGATCCCCAGTAAACCAGCTCAGGCTCGGGCTGCTGGAGCTGCAAGGCGAGCAGTCTTTGGGGGTCCCGATCTCCCCTTCCCCTCCACCCTACACCACCTTTGGCGCGCAGGTGGAAGTTACAGGACAGCCTTCCCTTTTGTCTGCAGCCTCGCCGAGACGCAGCGCAGCGCAGCCAGGGGAGACTGAGGCGCGCGTGTCAAGCTTAATGATTTATTCAGGCTCTCGGGCCGTCCCAGTTTGTTCCCGGCGCTGATTGGCTGCAGGCATGCGCCCTCTGTCATCCTCGCGCGCGCCCCGGGCCCCTCCCGCGCGGGCGCCGCCATTCAGGGAACAGCCGCCGGAAGGGGCGCTCCGCCCGCCCGCCCATTGAAAGCGGAGGTGGCGGGTGCGGCGGGGCAGGCCAGGCCGGGGAGCCAGAGGGAGGCGCCGAGGAAAGGGGAACGCCGCCGGCGCCAGAGCCAAGCTTCTGCATTCTTGCCGCCTCCCCCTTGCTCAGCCTGCAGTTTGGAAGGGCCGCCCAACTTGGAGAGGATGGCCCTCTCACGACGTGTTTCTTTTCCCGGGTGGGCGAAGGGAGGCGGGAGCACGTGGCCTGCCAAATGAGAAAAGAAAAGTCTCAAGTGTAGGAAGAAATCTTCCTTCTAG